TCTAGTCATGGATTTAATTACATTTTGATATATTATTAGAATGGCAATTTATATCACCCTTGAAATGAATCTGATGGATGTGGTAAGTGCATGTCTATATAGTTCTCTTGATGGAAATATTTATATGAAAGTTCTACCTAACTTAGAAATAAGAACTCCAAATGGACCTACTTTAGGACGATATTGTGGTATTAAATTATATAAGGCCTTGTATGGTTTAAAATAATCCGGGCACATGTGGTATCAATGTCTTCAAGATTATTTAATTACATAGAAGTTTGTAAGTGATCCACTAACCCCTTGTTTGTTTATCAAACAAAATAAAATTGATTTTGTGATCATCATTGTATATGTTGATGATCTTAACCTAGTGGGTACTAAATCTCCATGTGTTACAGCTACTAATCTACTTATATGTGAATTTGAGATGAAAATACTAGGAAAAACAACTTTCTGCATTGGTCTTCAAATTATGCATCTCACATATGGTAGTATTTTTCTCTACCAACTAACGTGTATTACATAAATCTTACAGAGATTCAATATGATTGATACTTATCCATTGTCCACACCAATGGTTAGATGTGGTTGTGATGGTCATGATCCATATCATCTATGCGAGAAGGAGGATGAAATATTGAGAGATCAATATTTATTACATTATTTAAAAGGTACTAAAGATTTGGAATTATACTAAACACAATCTGCAGATCTAAAATTGGTTGGATATTATGATGGGAGATATAAATCTGATAATGCTATAGCTAAATCTCAAATAGGATATGTAATTTTAAGACATAGAGTTGCAATATCATGGAAATCAGTGAAATAAACTATAACTGCAACTTCATCCAACCATGCAGAACTTATTGCCTTACATGAAGCATCTCAAGAATGTATTTGATTGAGATCAATTGATTAATTCATTCAAACAACATGTGGATTTTCATATGATGATTCTCCAACTATCTTGCATGAAGACAATAGTGCTTGTGTTGCACAGATGCAAGTTGGTTTCATGAAATGCGACAAGACAAAGTGTATTGATCCAAAGTATTTTAGTTATATCCACGACTTGATTACTAATCAAGCACTTATAATTTAAAAAAAAATGAATCTACAGATAATCTTGTTGATCTCTTCACCAAAGCTCTCTCATTGTACAACTATTGCCGACTTACTTATGGCATTGGTATGTGGTGACTTGCTTTTCTTGAATAAGAAAGTTAATGAACTCTTTAAATAATTAAGAAAAATGATGTTGTACTCATTTTTTGTCATCTATGGCTTTGCCCTTAAATATAATAAGGTTTTCTTAAATAAGATTTTAATGAAGCAACAATTCTTGATCTTGCAAGATTACAAAAAAGTATAGATCATAATTCTATACAAATTTTATATTATGTAAATATTATGATGAGCAAGGAGGAGTGTTGAGAGCATTAAATGTAGCTAGTGCTCTCCATGATATTTACTATAGTCTACAATAAATACTATAGTTATAGTATTTGGAATGTAGTAGAGAAGAAGTGTTTATCCTCTCCCCTTCTCCTCTTGTATATGAGACACAAGCAGATCAATAGATTTTTGTGTGAAGCTCTCTCTCTCTCCTTAGAAACTCTCTTGTGTTTGTGTGTATATTACTTACTACTACTCTTGCTTCTTTCTAAACATTCTCAACATGAAGAATAAGTTTTTCATATGCTGGCAAGAGATTATGACACATTCAAAATCTAAAGTCTCTATTCTTAAAAATCTGAAGTCCCGATTCTTAAAAGCAGTCTGCCTTTGTGACTCTACATATTTCTCGCAACTCTATACCAGTTCAGGGTCTCAAGATAGGGTTACAGCCTGTTGTGGACAATTTCCTAACCCAAATCATTGCTCGAAGCAAGGAACCTCATGACGTACAGCTGCAGGTGTGATTTGGTGTGCTTGCTTTTTCCTTCTTTTCTTTTCTTTTTTCTTTCTTGTCAGTTTTTGCTTCTTAGTATGTTTATTGACGTGGCAAACTTTTTCTTAGATAGCGAAGAATTGATACGTAATTTTAGTGCGTTGAACTTCCGAATGAGTGGTAGGCAGTGGTTCTGATTGATTCCCTTGTCTCGAAATGGGGCTAATTCAAGATACTTCAATTCGGTTGTCTCCTGTTTTACGGAAAATGGAGGTACTATCAGTCCATTCGTCTTTTAAATATTGTATTCTATGTCATTACGGATGCACAATTTATATGTGGTTTTCGTTGACCATATTCACTTAAGAAAGAATTGGTCTCACGGCAATGCAGGCTCATAGTAGCAAGGGGATCTTACAGTTCCAATTGTGGCCGTTTTTTGACGATCGAAATTGGACCACTTTATCCATTATTCTCATTGTTTGGGTCGGCAAGGTGAGTTGTTTGATGTATTAAGTTTTGTTTATTTTCGTTATTTTATTATATTATATTTTATTTCTAGTTGCAGATGTTTAACGTCTTTGATTATCTTTTAAGTATTTCCGTTTTCTCTTTCCATTATTGAATTATTGTTTTATGTCGTGGTATGAGGCTTGTTTTCTGAGAAGCATCCATGCTTGCTGTTCTTTTATGAACCTTGCCAATGTGATGGCTTCAGGTCGAAGTACATCGGATGCCTCACTGATTGGCAGGATGGGACCCTGTAGAGACAACAAAAAATCTGCAGTTATCAATGAAACAGATGAAGAATCAGTCAAAATCAACCTAGCTTCTTTCTTCAAATTTTTTAATTAAATAACAGATATCGTTGACCTTTGTGAACCAATGAATCATTTCGGCAACATCGTTAACTTTAACTCATCAGGATTATGGCTGTCAGTTTTAGTCTTGAATTCTTTCCTTTGTGACAGCGACAGTGAATGTTTTGGGAATTTGATCCCTCCTCATTGGCTGCATGAGTTTCTCTACAATATTTACATTGGTCATGTGTTATATTGTGATGATTCATAGCTAATAGATTCAATAGTTCTTCAGACTACCAAACGTTTCAGCTTTTGCAAATTCTTTACTACGGTTTTCAAGTTGGAAGTTTTAGCTAATGGCGTTGGTGCACGAAATTCACCGAGATGCACATGAATCACAGTTTAGAGATTTCATGTGCAGGATTCTAGACTTTTATGCAAATTGGACTTGCAGCCTCTTGTGATTCTGCTATTAGCTGTTTTAGGGAATGGGACTTGAAAGTGAGTAATTTATTGAGATTTCTGTGAGGCTCGACAATGCTGAGTATTATCCAACTCTCGTGGATTAAGGTTTATCATTTATTATCAGCCGTCAAATCTGCAGGCTGCCACTGTTTGTGTGTCTCTGCATTGGCTGATCAACTTTATTTTCACATCGTCAAACATATTAAAGGTTGGGCGCCACTGATGAACGTAGGTCGATACGTTTGATGCCTACACTGGATACCTTTCGACTCATTCTCCACGTCTTCTATGAGGTTGTCCCCGTGGCTGCTCACAATTCAACCCCGATTTTTTTAGCTTCTTAATTACTTTTTCTAGCTGGTGATCCTCTGGGTTCTGTGTTGCAACAGAAATCAGGCTGTGTGCTGATAGACTTGTGTACAGGCTCACTTGCGCCATTGCTAACAGTGATAATCGCCTAGGTGTGGAATCATGTAGTTTCGCCCAAGTGAAACCTCTGAAATTGTATTAATATAACTTGAACCAGGGTAATGACCGGTGTGTTGCATTTTCAGTGGCTAGATTTGTTTTACATCAAGTGTGTCTCAGCTACCTATATTTACAAGCCATTACATAAATCAGGGTACATGCAAATGAGACAGATCCTAATCGAATAGAGGTATCTGATATGCTTAGCATTTCGAGAGACTTTCCTGCAAGTATGGTTTGATGATTTTGTGCGTCCCTGTCATCATCAGTTTGGCCTTGTAGCTGCAAACCATTTCTATTGTTTAAATTTGTTCCAATGGAGATAACAATGTCTTATGCTGTTTAACGCTGGAAGTACACTCTCTGCCTTTGATTTGGTTACAATGCTCTATCTGATCACTTTTAGTTTGGAAATGAGTTTTGCAGTGAATATTCAACTTCTGAATTGAAGTGGTTGCTGAGGCTCGAACTGCAGCAGCTACCACAGCAATGTCTGCATCCACATCGACACCAACAGCAAGTGCCCACAACTCATCCACTCATGTTTATGGAGGATCTTCATCAGTCTTAGGTCCAGGAAACGGACAAGACCAAGAACGGGATCGAGATCGAGACCGTGCCCAAAGTTATGAGATAGAGGGCTTTGGGATGCAGGAGAAGGCAATTGGGCGTCTGGAGAAACAGGTGGCAGGACTTCTTTTCATGACGACTTAGCTTTAGGCGTTGAAGGAAGCAATGCTGGGACAGTGGGGAGTAGTCTCAGGTAAGGGCCAAGGTTAGCTCGACCTAGAGAAATATTAGAACGGCGAGAGAGAGAAAGAGGAGACTTGATTTCGTGTTTGATTAAGATAAAATTCTTCGCCATTTCCAAGTAGAGTGATGATTGCATTGTAGGGTCTGACAGCTCCTTCCTCACAGACTTTCACATGCGAATCAAGTTCTGAGCCCCAAGTGCGGTCCCACGCGATTTGGGGCGTCAAAATTTTACCTCTAGTTGTCAGAAGCGCTGCTGAAGATGTCTAGCCATTGACAGATTCTGTTGTACACTGCGGGCACCACTTGAGTCACCTCTATGAACAAGATGGTCGCAGATGAGATGCTGTACTCCATCTCAGCCTAACTCTTGCATGCCAACCATCAAAACGTTGGTAACATCTACTTGCTTATCTAAAGTAATGCTCGGAGGTGCATCAGTGGCAAGCAACGAACGAGGACCGACAGTTTCTGTGAAATCAGCCGAGCTCAATATCAAAAACCTGAATTGAAACTTTCTGTGAAAGCAGCAGTCAAAGGATTGATTATGGAAAGCGATGCACATCTTCGTCCGGTTCCGGTTGAATTTCTTCCCAGTCCGAGGCGGCAATTTCGATTTTCGTAGTCTTCCTACCGCACTTACGATCATGCCACCACATAGTGCAGAATTGGCCTGTTGGGGAGTCTGGTGAACAGAAACCACTCCTCACATCCTCGATGAGATGAACATTAGATGTTGTCCTTCCTCCACTTGTCCAATGGAATCTCCGTAAGGTGACCACGTGGAAATTGGCCACCAGGATTAGTGGCTGTGGCGGTGAATCCCGGCAGCTCTCACCTGTCATGTGGCCACGCCAGGTCCAATGATAACTCCCAGGTGCCAAATCTATTGAGATTCCACTTGCATAGTTTTGAAGCCCTACTTTCGAGCGACTGGATTCAACGCGGGTTCTAAGTAATCTCGGAATAATGGTTGCCGTCGTGAAGCCAATCTGAATTGGAGGATGAAGCCTGCGTCTTTAGCAAGATTCAACGGAGGGTTGTGCTGGTATGTAGGTCTGCACTCTTGGAAAGAGAAGAATTGATGCTGAGGAAACCAAATGAGGATGTGATTTTTAATCACGAGACTGGCCACAGCCTCCTCGCGCTTTTCCGATCCTCTATTGGCTTGTGGTTACAAGCGTCGAGTTAAGGAGAGAGGGGTTTCTAGTTCCGAAACAAGAGAAACAGACCCATGTGTGTGTTGGAGGTTTGCGAGGGTTTGAATTATCGTCGTTTGACATTCCGTCTTGATTTCGAGACAATTTAATGAGAAGATTGTGAAGTAGAAAAACGAATGAGATGTGAATGGATGCATCCTCCAGGTTTTGGTACAAGAAGCAACGTCGCATCATCAGGAGTTTGAAGGGTCGCCCACAATTTATTGCTCCTCATTTAGCAGAATTAGGAATTCGTAAGCCAATGACTATAATTTAGAAATCTTCATGAAGGCTGCCTGTGGGAGTAGAGAAAGTGGTAGTCAGATCACATATCCGCTTACTTTGGAGCGTAGTGATTTGTTTATCCGGTGAACTTGAGTTCAATAACGAGTGTGAGAGAGAAGGCACGAAATCACGGAGGATTCTAGTCGAATTGATACTAATCTGGGGGTCACATATGCGTAATTGATATAGTTACAGCTAATGGGTTGCGGAAAAGGATAGAAAATTGAATTGGCTTGGACGGTCACGGAGAAGTGAACTGCGAACGTTTCACGAGTGTTTGTGGAGCGACTACTTAAGAAAGCAAACAGTACACCGCAGGTTCAAGCGTCCTATTAAGCTGGACTGAATGTCGTGAAGTTCTGCTGAATTCAGGGTTTTTGTTGAATCTGTGCGGGGTGATTGTTGTCAAGGGATTCATTCGACGCGCGCAGAGGGAGAAGTAGGTGCAGGGATGGCTGTTTTGCAGCCAAGTCTTCAGTTCACGTCATCATGCCCTTCGCAGAACATTGGTCATGGAGAGCACAGAATGATCAACTCTCAGGGTCTTCAGTGTTTACCATGTTTTGGAGCCGCCACCACTCTTAAACCTAGCTCAGCGGACGGAATGAGCAGGTGGAAGCGGAACAGAGCGTTGCGCCATTCTGACACTAGTGCTCCGTCGTCGTCTCCATTTTGTGCCAAGAAAGCACCAAATTGTAAGGGAAAATGCTTTTGTACGGTGTTCAATGAGGACACTGGCGAAGGAGGTGACAAAGATTGTGATGGTGCGGTAGGAACGTCGTGGCTGCATTATCTCATGGATCAGGCGGGCATTGAAACTTCACACGCACAAGTACAGCTTTTCTTTCCTCGACACCAAGATAGGTTGCAGTATGTTGGAAACGTGTAGACCTAATTGTCTATTTGAATTTGATATGATAATGGCAGCCTCGCGTGGTTAAACATATCTGGAAAGCAGGTTGCACGCAGAAACTTTGCGGAGGAGATAGCGAACCTTCGAGCAGCTTCGGAGGAAGTTGGCTCCGGCAAGCCAGAAGGCTCTGTAGACCTTGCTCGCGCTGCTCTGGAAATTGCGGCAGAAGACGACGCTCTTGTCTCTCATTCCCCAGTTCCGCTGCCTGTAGATGCTTATCTCAATCGTCTCCAAGCAATGGCGGTAGAATTTGCTGGCCACTATCTTCCTCGTCAGCATGCGAGTGATCCGTATACTGTTTTTGAGGCTTTGGACTTGTATTTGTTCGGATACCAGGTAAGCAATCTACATTACATGATTGGTTCTCTATCCGTTTTACTTATGTTGTGTGCCGAGAATTATCCACATGTTACTGCAATCTCGACAAACGCACTGATAAATGCTGGTGTTGTTTAGGGTTTCAAAAGGACCAAGTCTTTGCACAATATCGTGGATGCCAGGGTGTTCTATTTAAATACGGTGAGTTTCTTATGGCCCTTACCTTTGTCTCAAATTAATATTCTCGAGACTCTAGATAAAATCTAATTGCCAGACGTCCTTGTTTGCTACTTCTGTCTTTGAAACTCATTTTTGTTGAAATTGTGTTGTTGAAACGAATAGGTGTTGACCACTCGGCTCGGCACTCCTGTAATGCTCGCCCTGATTTACAGCGAATTGATTAAGAGACTGCAGCAGATTGGGGTTATTGATTTCTCCGTTGACATGGAGCTCCCAACTAATCTGAATGATTTTCCGCGTCCTCGAGTTGCTACCCAGGATGGTAATGTGATGCCTGCGTGGATGAGTTTAGATAGTCTGAGTTCTATCGTCTAAGTGAGCAATGTTGCGGGTTAGATTCCGCACTCTCTGCTTTCCCTTGCCCGAAGCTCATGATTTTGCACGATGTTGTTAAGCGATAGGCTCTGACAGTGCATTCTATCGATTGCAGATACCAAGAGGGGAGACGAACAAACGCTGCTATTCACTCCCGAGTTGCTTTTGGTGGAGGTATCCCATAATTCATCGACAAATGATTGTGCTGGCACTGGTAGCTCTTAAAAAACTTCAACTCATCGAAGTCCTGGTTTGTGTTTCAGGTGCTCAGATCTCTGAAGCAGTTGTACTGGCCATGGCGAGAAAATGGAACCATAGGAGAAGGGAGTGGGTTTTTGCAAGCAGCCACTGCTGCGAGCCGAGGCATTGGAATGACTGCCTCTGCCAGTGCCTTTGATAGCCTGTTTCATGCTCCTCACAGTAGTGGGTGAGTCTTGGTTCAACAGTGGCTTGTCATGTGTTTCTAGAAAATAGTTGTTGCATGCTCAGCATGGACACTTGCTGCAATTGTTTGTTTCGAGTGTATCTGCCACTCATCGTGGCTGTTCATTTGCGCTGTTGTGTCCAGCGGAGCAGAATTAGCTAGAGCACGTTCAGCTCAGTTGAGACTGCAGCGCGGCATTTGGACATCTACTAATTTTGGCGATCTTCGCCGGGCTCTTGCTGGTGAGGCTACTAAGAGATTCCTGTGGAAGATGAATTTCACGTTAACACTATCCTTTTAAGATATTGAATTCTTATGAATCTTCTCCTTGTTCTTTTTGTTTGTCATGCAGCCTCGGAGAGGCTTGTATTGCTAGGGGTAGACGAACAAGAGCTGAGAGATTATGGCATGCTGCTCTTCCATGCTGGGCTGTACGGGCGGTCATTTGAGTATCTCAACGCGTATTCAACTTCTTTGGTAAAGCACCAGAACGTCTACCCACATTTTAGACAAACATTGATTGCTCTGCGAACCATTGCCTTGGTTGTTATATTTCACCGTTTCCTTAAATCAATGTTTCTGTGGTGGCCAATGTTTTTGAGTTGTCAGTTGTATGTGCAGGCTAACAGTGCAGTACCAGCTGCACTAAGTCCACTGAAGATGAAAGAAGATGTCGCATTAGAACGTCTTTTAGAGCGCTTACGCTTAATTCTCGCGGAGCAAGCCTGGTTAGGAACGTCAGGCACCCAGTTCGGCTCCTCTGAACTGCCTCCTGATCCATGGTAGTGACGAATCAGTTTGTATAGCTTTTTGTAATTCACTTTTAAATTGAACAAGACCTTCTCCACCTTTCCCAGCTGGGTTCTATGTGCAATGCTGTGGGGATCCAGTCGGCTTATTTCTCTCTTGGGAGTGTAAAACTCTCCAAATAGCTGGTTGAAAACTGGCAGCTTCAAGAAGCAAATCTGTGGTAGCCGGATCTGCCGACAGGTACCTTTACTGTGCTCCTTTTAGAGAACATTTCATTTTCGCCCAACGAGACAGATTTGCTAACTTGCCTCTTCGTCTTAATTGCATCGAAGGAAGAAACTGCGCAGATTTCAGCAAGATTAAGATCGGTGTCTAGGATATGTACAGATCATCCCTGTGATGGCCGGCCAAGACCTAAGTTCACTAATTGCTAGTTACACAAGCATTGGAAAACTGGGTCAGTTGATGCTCATCCACACTCTGGGGTCTGCCGATCAGGGGCCCTCCAGCTGCTGCTGCTTCCCTGGAGTGGCATGGCATAGTATAGCATGAGAGATGCATGCTGGGAGGAGGAGACAGACGCAGCAGCAACGTGTCAACTGCAACTCAAGAGGCAGTTGTAGTGGCAGCAGCAGCAGCGCAAAATGAAGCAGCCACAAACAACAACAACAACATGGGAGTGCGGAGCAGCAGCCCCGCATGCAGCCCTGGTCCATTTCCTACTATTTCTGTAGCATTTTCTGCCACATTCTTTTCATTGTGTCGTTTCTAGTTTTGCTCTGATTGGAATAAAGCTTGTTTAATTTTTTAATTTTTTATGGAACTACATGGAAGAGGACTGCACTCAGAAATGGATATATGTTTTTACAATGATTAGTGATTGCAAATGTAACCTTGAGTGAGAATTTTTGTTGTTGGAATTTTGATTTAAAAAAAATTAAAAATCAATGACGAGATTTTTAGATATGAAAAAGTATTCAAATATCCAGAGATTATTTTTGGGAGATTTATTGAATTTTAAAATTAATATCGAATTCTATTTACAGTCTCCTCTTATTAGACTTACCTCAATAATACAATTTGAAAAATCTTGTAACAATCTCATAAGATTTGTTGTAAAGTCCTTGATATGGAACAGTATTTATTTTTAGCAACACAATAGGATATCAAATTTTGAATTTAAATTTTGATGAGTAAATATGAAAAAATGAAGCATCTTATGAATCAATTACGAAGAATCTTGTGATATTTAATTCAATAATAATAATAATAATAACAAAATGATCCCAATAGTTATTAACCATATCCAAAGGTCCTGGATCCAAAAACACATATAAAGTGATAAAAAAAAGAGTTTGTAACGTATTCTCACAAAGCAACAGGAAAGAAGGGTAGAAAGAAAGCCATGTCCAACAGAGAGAGTATGAAAAAGCAGCAGCAATAGGGAGAGTTAGTGTGTGAGTGAGTTGAGTTGAATTGAGTGAGTAGTAAGTAGTAAGGAGGAAACACCACCCCTCACCCACCACCCACCACGGTCATGGATCAGCAGGACCAGCATCAACGCTCACGGGAGTCAGTCAGTCAAAGCCGTGCCTTGGAGAGAGACAGAGACATAGATTGATGAGGGGGGGGTGCCAAGTCTCTCGCACCACCAGATGAAGGGGGGGAGGGGGGGTTCAACAAAGTCCACGTCGGATTACCACGTGGTGGGGGCACATGTCCCGAGGAGGAACAGCACGAGGGATGTACGAGGGGCGGCGATATTGGGGAGGGAGGGAGGGACGGGAGTAGTGGGAGTAGTGGGAGTAGTAGACAAGGGAGGGGGAGGATCGAAGGGCTGCTCTGCTGCAGCGGAGGAGGGAGGGATTTGGGGAGGGATTTGTGTGTCTTCTCATTTGTGATGCAGTGGCGATCTCGACATCGCCGATGCATGCAAATCAATCCTGGTCGGGGAGCAACAGCAACAACAACAACGACAACAACAGCAACAGCAACAGCAGCAACAACAAAACCCTCCCCCTCGCCTCTGCTTGGCTTCCGTCCTTGCTTGCTTCCACGGCCACCCCCTCCTCTTCCGCGCTCTTCTTCTTCGTCTTCTCATTCATTCATTCATTCCTCTCTTCTACTTCCCACTTCTACCGCACTTCAATTGCCCCTCTGCCGTCTCTCTCTCGCCGTCTACCCTACCACGTCGTAAGTTTTTTTCCTGCACCGACTGTTTTCCCTGTTCGTGTGTGTACAAGCCCCCACGGGGCTCATGTCGAGGTCGTCGCGTGGCTGTGTTCTAGATTTTGGATGGCGTTTTTCGCGCGCTGCCGCTGTGGCCGTTGTTGAGATCAACATTCTTCGTTGGCGACCATAGGAGCCTGAAGTGGTTTTGAAGCAGGGAATTTGCACAGGGTCGTGAGGATTAGGGGTACTTGTGTGGTGGTTGGCTGGAAGGACTGTGGGTAGTTATTTTTTCTTTAGTTTCGGTTTTTCGCTTCGTGTGTTGCAGGTGTGGATGCGCTCACGATCTTTTAGTCTAACCATGGGACCGAGTATAATTCTTATGGTAGCGATATTGAGAAACGCGTAAAGTTGAATCTGTGGTTTAGCATCAGTATCGCAATAAATAGGGATGCGAAGCTCTAGAGCACTTTTTTGTTTTTGTTCTTTTAATTGTTCTAAAAATTTTATTCTCTGCGGACTCCGCTCAGCGGTGTTTCGTCATGTGAACTTCGATGAGTACATGCAGTTTATGAAAGTTTCTCCACTGTGCTTGAGTTTAAGTCAGTAGTTAGTTGTGTTGGGTGCTCCTATCCTTGAGTGGGATATGTTGTAATTCTGAATTTATTTTTAAAAAAAATCACACAGTTGTGCCATTGTTATGATCCCTTTTTTTTTCTTTTATTTTTTTTCTTTATTTTTTTTTGTTGTTCTTGTTTTTGTTTTTGAGGACGTCTTAATGGGTGGGCACTGTTGCTCGGCATTTGAACTGTGTCCGACAACCTCCAATTTTCCATGTAAAAAACTACCATTATAATTTCCCGACTTTTGAACTCGAATTGCCTGACGCTTTTGCGAAGCTGTTCCCGCTGCAAGCCTGTTCTTTACTTCACTGGGTCTGATGCCACCCTGACTTCTGTATTCCTATCCTCCAAAGTTATGCTGGGATTTCCACGTTGTCTTCCATTCTAACCACTCCTCAACATTCACTTGTCTCTAGTGGCGGCCGGGTTTTGGAGACATCCCTACTGTTGGCGGCTGTAACATCCTTGGACTTCTTTCCCGCCTACCTCTTTCCCATAGGTCTTTTCAAGCATAATTCACATGACATCATCATCTTCGCGAAAGATGGTTGAATGGGCTCATAATGTAAAGGGTACAACCTATTAGTCATGATAAAACTTGACCTGCGGAGTTATTTAAGTTTTCTTTCTTCTCATGCATTTGTGTATTTCTGTAGAGGTTTTATAGAAATGAAATACGCGTTGACCATTGGGATCTTTTATTCTGATTGGTTTTTAGAAGTTTTATTTATGTCAAATCCTAACATCGTGCCGCACATAAATGTAGCTACCATTCGTCGATTGTCATTTCAAACCTGTTCTCTTTTAGTTTCGATCGATTATCAGAATGTAGAGTGATCTAATTCCAATGCGTCTGTCGTGTTGTACGCACCCTATATCGCCCAATTCTTAATATTATTCGTTGGTTATTGTAATGTCGTCTAGTTCAGGAAGGCTCATGCGACCTCCATGTCGTTGTAAATGTATCGTGGTTTTATCACGTAGAATAGGCAGTCGAATCTCTGTGCGTAGTGCAGGTATTAACAAACGTTCTCCCACTTGTATATTCTTCACCGTCGCTTCTGGTAGACAAGTTGTTGCTTTTTCAATGTGTGTTCCTGGGATGTAGTAGGCCTTAATGTGCCTGAATGGTTGGTTTTTTTAACGATTATCCATCTTTGTCGTGCAGAGTCTGGTCCAGTAGTGTCTGCCCGAATTAGTCTACCTAAGGTGAATGCGGAGAAGGCGAGGTCTTTAAAATTTGGGAGAAGTGATAGAGAGGGGGGATGGATAGCGCGGTATTAAATGACATTATAGGGCGACTGCTCGATGTGCGGACGGAGCGGCCGGGCAAGCAAGTGCAGCTTTCAGAGGCTGAAATTCGCCAGCTTTGCGTTGCATCCAAGGACATATTTTTGTCCCAGCCTAATCTGCTTGAGCTGGAGGCCCCAATTAAGATCTGTGGTACGCCCCTCAACCTACACTGAGTTCATTTTGTAGCATGCAGACACCGGTGAACATGATAGTTGAATATAGATGTTCTTCGTACGCATTTTCTTGCTTACGCAGTTAAGGCATAGGAACAATATACCAGTCTCACGCATGACATCAAGAGAATACTGGTCTTACATATGACAAGAAGATTATATCACTCTGGCTTGATTCCTCACAATATCTCAAATTACAAAACATTAGAATACTCAGAGAATAGATAATTTCCTGTTTATAATCGTATGTATGAGGTAAGTTGATGAGCATATTGCAAAGCAATTGCTGAATTTATTAATTGGCTGCGACGAATCTAGTCTCTTTGAGAAGCTCCTGGTCGTTTTGTGTTTCATGCTGTTCCTCGAAGTATTGGCTGATAAGCGCCGTTCTTATGCTGCAGGTGATATCCATGGTCAATACTCTGACCTTTTGAGGTTGTTTGAATATGGTGGCTTTCCACCTGATGCAAATTACTTGTTCTTAGGAGACTATGTTGACAGAGGAAAACAGAGTCTAGAAACCATCTGTCTCCTCTTGGCATATAAAATCAAATACCCAGAGAATTTCTTTTTGTTAAGAGGTAACCATGAATGTGCATCAATCAACCGAATTTACGGCTTCTTCGATGAATGTAAACGTCGTTTTAACGTACGGCTGTGGAAGACGTTCACGGATTGTTTCAACTGCCTGCCCGTGGCTGCCTTGATTGATGAGAAAATTCTTTGCATGCATGGAGGCCTTTCTCCAGAACTTAAGAACTTGGACCAGATTAAGAAGATAGCACGCCCTACAGATGTTCCTGATTCAGGCTTGTTGTGTGACCTTCTATGGGCGGACCCTGATAAAGATGTGGCTAGATGGGGAGACAATGACCGAGGTGTCTCTTTTACATTTGGTCCAGACACAGTCTCAGAGTTCTTACAAAAACATGACTTGGATCTCATCTGTCGAGCCCATCAAGTACTGTGATGCATTCTTTAAATCTGGTAGCCTTTAAATTTCTATTTCAACATTTCGGAGGATGTGATTTATTTTTGCACTTTGTTGCACTTAACTTTGAAGTTGGTGTGTTGCATTCATGAGTTCAGAAAGTTGCATGTGTGGAGTTGCTTTTAGAGTCTTGAATTCGTACAGACTTAGTTTGACCAGTTGTCTTTTCATGCTGTTGGTAGATCTCTTCAGCTGCTGTAGGTTAGATTCTTTGTACATAATGCTGATCTGTGCGGGATGTCCCATGCACAGGTTGTGGAGGATGGTTACGAGTTTTTCGCTAAGCGCCAACTGGTCACTATCTTCTCTGCACCAAATTATTGTGGTGAATTTGATAATGCGGGTGCAATGATGAGTGTAGATGATTCTCTCTTGTGCTCGTTTCAAATCCTTAAACCAGCAGAAAAGAAACAAAAATTTGTTGCATATGGCAGCAATGGTTCTCGACCTGGAACACCACCTCGTGGGGCTAAGGTTAGCAGATTTTGAACCTTGAGAAGTTACTTGACTGATTCAATAGTAGTTACTTCTTTCAGGATGCTAAAACCAACGTCTTGTGCTCATGTGCATGGTTTACATGTACGTAGTACGAATGCCAGTGGTTGTGCATTCATTGACTTCGAGTACGGTTCTGAGATTTGTGTTTCTGTTGGGGGCTTCCAGGGATAATGCGAAATGGTGCTCGTGAGCTTGGAAATTAAATACCTATAGTGAGCACCTTTGAAACTGATGCCTTATCTTCCTGAGGCTCTGTTGAGGGATTACAGCGACTGAGCGGATCTGCTCTTTGGAACAGCTTTACCAAGTGGGAAACCGAAATGGTTCGTCGCGTAGCTGGAGTTTGTGTCCAGCAGAAAGTTGAGCATGACCTCATAGACACATACTCATATGCATGCATACAATGCATTCACATATTAGCAATAGTTATTTTGGAAAATGGAGTAGTATCTTTGGGAGTGCGGTGGTACACATATCCTAATTCTGCACACTTGCGTATGCAAGAGGTTTGCTTGGAGGAGATTGAGGACGGTTGGGTGTGAAATGTCTAGGTGGTGGTCTGCAGCAGAGTAGTTATGCCTATCTTAATTAATGTACATTAGGGAACGAGAGCACCCAGTTCAACTCACTTCACCTCATATTCACTTTAGTTATACTTTCCGCTGTTACTTGTATTGCAACTTGCATTCTACTTGATTGGAGTTACTATACTGTCGTTGATTACTGTGTGTATCTGATAATCTAATTTTGCTTATCGAGTCCTGAACGTTTTTACTTGTTTGTGGTTTACTTATATGTGGTTCTTTTTCTGGAAGCAGCACTATTATTTGGTAATGCCCATTATTTTAACTTTTGTTTCTACGTATTCCTTCCAGTGGACTGCCTCGTGGTAAGCTCTCCATTTAAGTTGCTGTTTTTCGGCCTTTGGAATGTTTTTTTCAAAGGGTTGTCCAAATTTCCAATTGTCAGATCAAGGGATGCTCCTCTAACGTATCGTATTTGATGATTCATGTTTGGACCTTTTATAGATTAGGGTAGAGAACGGTGAATTCCAACAAAATGTTTCGTCTCTCCTCACAACTTGTTTGACATCCATGATCTACCTTAGGTTTTTTCTTGGTTGATTTCCAATATGTTGTGATTTAGATTGTTTAATAGTTAAATTATAGTTGTACATTTATGCTATGTTTTATATTATTTTGTGTATATTACTGTGTAAATTATTGATGAATACTCATTAATACGAAACACACAATTGTAAAATATTTACATTGTTTAATTGAGGTCAAATTGAATAAATAAATATTTAATAATTGATTGACAGAAAAATGAGTTGAGTATGAGAATAATTAATTGGATAAGATGAAACAAAAACACTTAATGCAAGGTTCTTTTAAGAAGACAATTAGAGGATAGTTCATTAGTGTTGAGGATTATGGTAATAGCAAGAGTATGTTGAATGAATATTTAAGATAATAAGGGAGTAAGATGGATATGGTTAAGATTTGTTGGATTGTAAAGATTATATTGAGAATGAAGTTGGTGGAAATGGATAAGGTGAGAATTAAAATATATACATTAGATGTTACATATTTATGTTATAACATGGGAAAAAAATTAAAATAACAAATACATTAGATTGTAGACATATGTAGATTTTGTAGTAGTAAACATTGACTATTCATGATTGTTGAGTATATGTGGGTTTAGATCTAAAAGAGAAAACTTTAAATGTTTAGACTTGTTTTAATAGAAGTACTAGGTGGTAATTATGGTAAATATTAAGATAATAGAAATTAATGACATTTTGAATTCTGATTTAATATTATTACAATCAATAGAAGTGTTTAATATGCATAAGATTTTTATACTAAACATTGATATAATAGTAGTCTTACAAAATCTTAAAGTGTATTCTGAGATTAGATTTGTATATATATATATATATATATAACCTCCCCTTTTTTGTATGATTTTAATTTAGAGACTGTATTCAATGCTTTATGGACAGATTTTGAAGGATGTAAAAGATGTTTTAGATATTGAAGTGTAAAAATAAGATCACATGAAATTGAAGAATCTAATAAACGTGTTTCCTCATAATTTTCTACTGGGATATTCACTCAGCATTGAAAGTTTTTACATTTAAAACTGGTTTAAAGCCTTGGAAGAAAAAAAGCATACTCAATATTATTGTCTTAAAAAAATAATTAAAATGGAGTATCAAAAATAAATAATATTTTCAAATTTGAAAATTTTAATATAATAGAAATTGATAATTTGTTTTTTTTGTTTTTGTTTTTGCTTCTTTTTTTTTTCTTTTTTTTTTTGCTTTTTGCTTTTCTTTTATTTTGAGATAATTAAAACTATAACGTGTTAATTTTTTTTGTTAATTCTAAATTTCTAAAAGTGAGAATCAATCAGTTTTGCATTGTATTCAAAACAGGAAATCAAATCCTGAATCACATATTAATCTAAAAACAAAAATAATTGCTAATTTACACTAATCATCCATTCAAATGATACCATTGTCAAAAATACATAAATAGTTACTAAAATGATAAAATTATAATTAAAAATTTGAACTACTGTGTTTCTTTTGCAATCAAATCTATATCTCAGTCAAACTTGAGATATTTTATGTCGTAAATAGGTAACAGTAGTCCCTATATACTCTAATTTACTGAGAACCAAATCATCTCAGAAAAGACTGTCAAAATTTGGTTACAAAAGGTTGTTTTATTTTATTCTTTTCATTCATGATTTATGTCTTTAAAGAAATGGGTATTAAAGAAAATATAAACTAGAAATAAAGGATCCGTGGATATAATTTGAAATGTGTAATTAAGAACAAAATTTACATAGTCATGGAACATAATCAATAAAACATTCGAAGATAAAACAAACCAGGAAATTTTAAAATAAGTAAATATTATGAGGTGTCAAGAATTACATGAGCTTTAATTTTATAATTATAAAAATTTATGAGTGAGTGTATGCATAAAAGAATTACCCAAATACTAAATTATTTTTTTAAATTAGAGCTGTTTAAAGCTGCACTGATATCTGTAATCTATAAACAAGTCTCAAAGAGTTCCACAATGACATCTGGAATTCAAAGGTTATGTCTTATGATAAAATGAATGCATCAAACATCTTGACAAATCTCAAGACACGTGACCTTTAATGCACTCTCAAATCCAAAGTAACATATTCATAAACTTGGTATGAAACTCATAATAAATAAACAGATAAATAAATCGGTAAATTATTTTTATGAATAAAATGATAATATTTTATTTTAAGATGAATTTATCATTGCAAATTTAATGAATTTAATCTTTATCCTAAGACAGACTAACCTCTGGTAATTTATCATTCTTGGAAAATTACATATATTTATTTTTTTTTGAAAAACAACAAACCATTGTATCTTGTAAAATTTACCGAAAATGTAGAATTTTAAAAGCTATAAAGAAAATCCAACATAGAAAAAATATTTTTTTCGGTATACATCTCAACGATTTAATTTTATACAAGATGAAATTTATTGATTTAGATGATTTCAAAGCATGAATTCTTTTTATACAACTATTCTTTCAGATTTTTACTTTTTTTTCTCCTATGAGATTCACTCCATGCAATTAGCTTGAATAATCTCCAGGTTTGTTTTGTGCTTCTGTTCAATTTACACATATTTCAATTCTGTAACCATAATGAGAGGTGATACTTATGATATACAACTATTAGACATTGAAAAAGAAAATGCTCAAAGAGCATCAAGACAAAGTAAAAGAAAAAAGAATTTATTCATTAATGACACTCTAAGTGAAATTGATCTTAACTATCTTGAGCGTATTGCATTGGATTCATCCATAAAATGGAACCACCTTATGCCTTGTGGAGTGGCCGAAGTGTTTTGTATGGCTCCACTTTCTATTCTTGATCAAATATGGAACAAGTTGGATCGTGGAAAACCTGTTTTTCAAGTACATTACAACTTGAATTGCACATTAACTGAGTGGAAGCCTTCTCAATTTGAAAATGAACAAAACCGTTTGTATGAAAGTTTTTGCCCAATCATTATGTGCATGAATACCCAACCCGATGATTACGGTTCTCTTAGAATGTCCGCATACAAAAGCGCAAAATATTCAAACAATCACAATGAAAAAAGAAAATGGTATGCATTCCCGTCTTTGAATTACCTTCCTAAACATGTCACAAAGGTTTTAGCGGGCGATGGTGGATTGTTGGTTTGTTGTGGGGGTGTACAACCTTGTCACTCAAAACCCACTTTAGATGAAAGGCTCCTTCCATTAACACATGATGAAGAAGATGACTATGATCGGCAAAAATATCCATTAGGACAAGACATTATACTTATCACAAACCCACTTACACAGGAATATTATTTTTTATCTCCAATTCCTTATTATATCCTACAAGAAAAAAATGCTTGTTTAATAATGACTCCTTGCGAACCTCATCCCTTAAACAAAAAACAAAAAAGAGTTGTTTTTTGTAGAACTAATACAACAAATGACAGCTCTGAAAGTAGTGAGGAAATTGAATCAGATCTTTACAATAAAAAATTAGAAGAATTTTGTCATGACTATGTAGTTGTTGTGGTGGGGCATCATCACCAAAGCAAATTTGAAGATGAGCTCAACAAAGAAAAACTTGTAGTTTGTATATATGAATCCATTAAAAAGGAAAAAGGATGGTGGCTTCGACCGCTACCATTTATATCACGATGGATGCCTTCAAAACATGGTCGAAGTGGAATAGGGTTTTGGAAAAAAGATTCTTGGATAGTAGTTTTTTTTGGAGGAATTTTGGTAGAAGAACACTTTGAAGAATTCCAATTAGAAGATTTTGGTTTAAATGGAAATGAAAATCCTACAACTTTAAATAACCAAGATTACAATATCGACCATTCAAAAATCAAAAAATCAAATAATGATTGTGATGAAAAATTATTAAATTCTCATCCTTTAATTCCAAATACAATTAAACCAATTATAGGAGATTCTATACTTCCAAAAAACCTTAAAATTATTCCAACTAAGGATGAATGTGATAACCTAAGAAAAAAATTATGGTGTGAAGAAAGTTCAAGTGAAAGTACCATAACAAGTATCTTAGATTCTTGTCATTCAACTCGTCCACCAATGCTTCAACAAGTTTTAGTTGAAACATGTAATCCAGTTATTTACTATGTTTCTATAGTTGAAGATGATGACTTTGCTCTTGCTTTACCTTTTAATCCTTTTGGGACCAAAGAAAACCATTTACAATGTCCTATTGTCATACAACCCTTTAGATGGCAATCAACAATGCCTATATTATATGCAGTGACTAGAAGTATTATATTAGCCGACACAATATTAATATTTGGAATTGAGTTTAAGGTAGGATATAAAGGCAATCCCATTCCAAGTGGGAACTATCATCTTCTAACAAAAATGCCTCAAAGCATATTTAATGATGTATTTCAAACAATAGATTATTCATCTAAGCAATTTGAGTGTAGTGGGGGGAATGGTCTTATTTGCATTAGAGTAATTGATATCAACATTATTGCAATTTATGATATTATAAAAGACTCTTGGTATTTAGAAGATTACACAAAATATTTTCCTACTAAAGCAAATGGCAATTCCTTCCAAATGTTTGAAAATTGTGTCTATGAACCAAGTTTTTGGCAAAAAGCTGATATAACAAATCAAGATAATAATATTGATGAGTTGTTGCACCATTGTACACCTGAAAAGTACTTTGGTTGTTACATTCCCAAATGAAAAGAAAAAAAAAAAAAAAAAAAAAAAAAAAATGAAGGGAAAGGAAAGGTATATATATATATATATAACTCTTATAAAATTTAACACTTGTGTGTTTCAAAACATACCAGAATCAAAACCAATATCCATAGTATACCATAATCTGTATATAAAATGCAGTTCATACAAAACAACTGTTCACAAATACTGCTAACTTGTAAAATCCACCTTCACAAAATTCAGCACATTAAAATTTACAAAATAGTACCTTTTGCTTTTTTCCTTTTTTTCTCCAATTACAACAATACTTATTATTATATATATATATATATATATATATATATATGTGTGTGTGTGTGTGTGTGTGGGTGGGTGTGATTGTATTTGTTTTGATTTTGAGCAAAGCAAAGAACAATATTGACCTGATTTGACCTCTTCAGCTTTGAACAGGATGATGATTTACTGGAAGTATGTAACAGGAAGCAGCTCTTTAATTTAGCTGCTGTATCATCTTGTGGGAAGTCCCCAATTGATTTTGATTCACCATTTGCAAACCCTAAATGACAGTTATTCTTTAGGGTTTGAATTTGATTCACCATTTACACAATGGCAATTGAACACAACCATCGTAATGTGTGGGACATGGTTATTGTGAATGGGTCTCTACTCATGTTGAACTTTTTTCACTTGGTTTGTGTGGAAAAGGCTCCCTCCCTTATACTTCCCATTAAATGCAACATAAAGGAACATCCTTGTATACATAATACATGATTTGAAGTGCAAAAACTGTTGCAAATTGTTTATTTACGGACTTTATTTAGAGGATGTTGTCCATCTTGTTTTAGTGAAGGATGTGTAAAGGTAGTGTTAGCAAAATCAAATGTCAAGAGAGTAAAGTAAAGTAATGGCTTCTATGCAACGTAGAAAGGGTCCTAATGTAGTGGGATTGTTTGGATTGTTACAACCTTTAGCAGATGGTTTGAAATTAATGATAAAAGAACCTATTTTACCAAGTAGTGCTAATTTATTTATTTTTATAATGGCTCCAGTAATTACATTTATGTTAAGTTTGGTTGCTTGGGCTGTTATACCGCGCGCCGTGCAAGGTGCTTTCGTCGCTATGGGGCATATCCTGGTGCCCGATCTCCAGTCTGCGTCAATGGAGTAAATCACCCAGAGGTAGCGTTGCCGCAATGCGCGTGGAAAAGCATCTGGGAAACCAAGTCACAGGAGACCCTTCAAAGGATGACTCGGGAGATACTGTTGGGGTTGATGAGGCTGACGAATCCGAATTACGTAGCTGCTGAACGACAGCATTCACCAAGCCAGCGGGTAAGGACTTGGTCCCGTAATCGGTTCTTTTGGTAGGTATAACGGAGGCCGAAGACGGAAAAAAAGATTTTTTTTTTCGGGGGCATTCTCAGTAAGGGAATAATACTATGCGGACATCTTACCTCAACAAACAGGTGAAAAAAGTCGAAGACGCAATCACGGGATCGACCTACTCTCTAGCGAGAGGGTCGGCGGAGCCGCTGTAGTAAGTGGATAGGGAAATCGACCAAGCTAGGTACGCACTGAAGGGCGGCAGTCATGATTCGATGGTAGAGGGTGCAGCCCTTTCCTTGCCACAGATGTGGTGAAGGCGGCGACGCTTCAACTCTTCTGAGAAGACGGGTTGGTCATAGCAGACATTCAAATGCTGCTACGATCTCATTCAATAAGTACCTCGTGAAGCGCGTCAATATATATATATATATATTTTTGTTGACATGCTTTAGTAAATCAGTGGCGGAGAGCTTTATGACGGGAAACTGTCACGTATGGTTCGGAGGGCGGGGAAATCTCCGACCCCTACTTTTGATTATGGTATGGTATTGTCAGATTTAAATGTAGGTATACTTTATCTATTTGCTATATCTTCTCTAGGCGTTTATGGTATTATTACAGCGGGCTGGTCCAGTAATTCTAAATATGCTTTTTTAGGAGCATTACGATCTGCAGCTCAAATGGTTTCTTATGAAGTTTCTATCGGTCTTAAATCCTCAAATTATTTGTAAGAGATTGTGAAAAAGAAAAAGGTTGTAGATGGTCGTGGGTTCATGGCTTTCAAGTGAGTTTGTATATTGTAGGATAAATAAATAAATAAATAAATAATCTTTGGTTAACTTTGTGAAACAAGTTTTAAAATGTCATGCATCTTTATTTGAAGTAGTGTTTGTGCCATTGAGAAGAAAATCAAGTTTCTAAAATAATATGTGGTGTGTTGTATCCAAGTAAAACAAAGTAGTTTATTAATCACTGGTTTCCTTTGTATTTACACATATTTGTAGTGTTCCAAAAAAAAATTCCTTCTTTAGAAATAATTATAAAGAAATTGAACATTAAAATTAGATCATGCAGAGACATATTTAATGGCCCTTACAATTAGGTTCTTTCATTAGACTTTTTATATTTCCAATTTTTTATATGATTATTCAACAAGATTATGAAATGATTGTTAACAATGATTTTATATTACACTCTTCACCAAGAGAACAATGAAAATTTGACAACCATAATGTAAAAAGTTGGGTAGAGAATCAATTGTCTTTCCAATTTTTTAAATCAAAATTATGATAAATTTTGGTAAATTTAATCCAAGCATCAAATGTAAGATTCTGTTCAAGTTGTAAAAACCTTTGATATTATGACACCTTACACATACATTGAAAAGTAAGTAACCTAGCAATCAAACTTGTATTATCATTATAGGTTCAAAGTTTTAACAATTGGAAATTATGAATATTTTTAAAATATGAGCATCTATCCTACAACTTCCATTGCATCATTCTAAAATATTTTCATTTGATTTTCAACTTTCTTATTTTTATTTTTGTTACTTTCATTTAAACACCTAATTCTTCTGAATATGCATAATACTTTCAATTATTTTCTATTTTTTAGTTTTATCAAGTACATTTAAAAATTTTAACTTTACACTTACAAGTGTTTGTGTTATATTTTAAATTTGAGATATGCCTAATTTTGGATTTGATAGTTACAATTTGCCAAATGTTCACCATTAAAAAGAAGCATTTACTTTTTAAATTTAATATTCTAAAACAATACAGTGTATATAAGTAAAAGTAACAATTCTGGGTATATGATAAGTGCATCAATTTATGTCAATATAATCATAAAACGGTATAATTGATTAAAATTAATGCAATTACTACAATAGTACCACTAATAATAATAATAAAGTCTAAGTTACATTTTCATTGTCGTTTTGAATACAACCAAGTTTCAACCATGAAATTTGTTACATAGTTCAAATATTTCAGATTTTTTTTTTTTTTTTTTTTTTTTCCCGGTTGAAATGATATCATCATAATTATATTAAGATAAAAAAAAACTATTCTAATGTGTCATACTTAATAAATAAAGAAATAAATATACATGGTAATTTTCGAAATTTTATTCGATTGAGATATTGGTGCATTTATCCTAGTCAAGAATTCATTGCTTTTTCAGAGCATACAGTGAAAATAATAACAGTTTTTGCGCAATATTTTCCTTGGTGCAAACCAAAAACAACCAACCATCACCAATACAACCAACATGGATATAAAATGAAAAAAAAAAAACTGTTGTGATTTTTCTCATAAATTTGTAGTTTTAATAATAGTAAGTACAATGTACAAATACCGAATTACACATTCTCATAACACAAAAAAATAAAAGTAGAAGTACATAAAATTACTGCTCGGTTTATTTTTCATTATGGTAAGCATTTATTACTGAAGTTTGTTTTGTACGAAAGCATCGAAGATTATTTACTTCGTAGGTCATGGTGGTCATTAAATGATTCCACTTCTGATAAACTTGGTTCTTAATTGTTAACTGAAAGATGATAATTAAATTGGAAGTTCAATAAAAAAAAATTAAAATACACTGCTGAACATAAACTCATTTCGAGAACAATGTAAGCAACAAACTACTGTTTACATCCGTCTTCGAACAGAAATGCAATTTTACAGCTCCTTATTCATGGTGTACATTTTATGTGACAGATTTATAATACTCTATCTTGAAAGCTGGTGGTCATTCTTTTGTTCTCCGTCTCGCGGAACAAGGTGTAAAGCTACCCTTCCAACATCAGCTACTAATACTTCAAAGCACCTCTACCATGAATTGTTGCCACCAAACCTATTCCCACCTGAGATTAAGCTCAGTTCGATATTTTGGACTCATATACACGATCATCTGGGCAGTGGAGACATATCATTCGACCCAAAGCATCAAAAACTCAGTCTGCCAACATTATTCAAAGACGGAGACGATACCATCCCACCCACAAGTAGCAACAACGGATGGAAGGCTCGGGTGATACACAGCATCACTGCAAACCCCTTGATGTGCAGCAATCTTCTTGATGAGCTGAGTGGACCGATAGTTGTAAAAGTATACGTGGCCGTCTGCAGATCCTGTGACTACACACTCCCCATCGGAACTAAAACTGCACTGGATTCGATACCCTGCCACTTGGTGACCTTGAAAGCGTTTGTGCTTGTTTACCTTGAAGGGGGCGCGGCCAGAGAATACTGCTATGTAGTCAGCATTGGATTGTGCAATGAAGCATTGCTCAAAGGGGTGGAATCGGGCACTCGGGCACGTATATGCCTCCAAATAGACCTGCGAAATCCGATTAAATTCATCAGCGCTAGGCGTGAAAGAGTCACCAGCAAATCACGACCACGCACTTGCGGGCTCATATTTACATGGAATCAGAAAACGTTGTGATTTGAAAGCACCTGATAATCAGAGCTATCGAGAGAATCGAGCAGCCTCAATGGCTTCGAAATTTGAAGTCCAACAAAAGTGGCAAACTCACCTGATTAGAGAGAGGAATCTGTGTTGCGAAATTCCAAACCAAAAGAGATTTGTCACTCGAATTACGTTTGGCAATATCTGACGTTGTAACAAACCTGCTTCCGTCAGGACTAAAATCAACGTCCATCACGTCACCAAGAGCTTTGGAGTACTCGCATGCAAATTTTCCTAATCGAACGTCCCAGAGCTTCACAGAACCCTTTGAGCCCCCCGTGATGAACAGGTTTCCTTCCAATGGATGGAACCTTACAACGTTTACAACTTGGCTCTCAGAAAATACCTGCTCCGATTCCCCACAAATAAAATATCGTTACACCTCCGATCTTTCTCTACTGAAAATCAGTTGATGAAAAATGCATGAACATTCGCAAGGACATACACTCAATCCAGAAAACTTACGAGAACCGGTGCTTTTTAGTCGACGCACTAAAATACTGAAGAATTTCAAATCAATCACACAAGGACCAAATTAATGTTACCAGAGACTACTTTCAACTTTGACCGATCTGTACAACAGTAATTTTCTCTCTTAATTCTGCTCCCCTAACCCTAGAGCACTCAACACTAAAGATATTGTTCAATTAAGTTTGGCGGGAAACAGGACTAATAATCCACGAGGTTCAGAAAAAGCAATGCAAGTGCAACCTGAAATCAAAACTTAACCCCAAATGACCCAATGGCCCTCACCAACAATACAGAAACTAACTTGTGTCTGAGCGCCAGTCTCAACATCGCTCAGCCTTGCCGTCTGGTCAAAGCCACAGCTGAGGACTGAATTGCCATCCAAGGACCATTGAATATCCTTGAGAGCATGTGTGTGGCAGCTGAGACAACGTCCCATCTGGTGAGCTGGACTTTCCCATACATTCCAAACGTAAGCTTTGTGATCCATCCCAGCTGATGCAAGCAACGCACCTGCACAACACTACAAAGCTCATCACTGGCTCCAGCAAGTCAGGACAGGCACTTTCTCATCAACGCTTCAACCTAAACCCTACGAGGTTGAAACAGATGCTCATGCACGAAATTACCATGTCGCAGTTGTTACCATTGTTCCAATTGTCTTATATCCAAGAACCTATGATGCAGTTGAATTACACACCATGCGTAGGAGACCACCGGACAGCGATGACAGCTTTGCTGTGGCCTTCCAGCTTCGTGACGAGCTCCCGGGGACACCTGTTGCAACCCCCAGCATTTCCAAGAGAGTGATCCAATTTCCTTTGGATGCGATGAGGCAGCTTTGCATTCAGCACACTTGCAAGTTCTGGTCATTGCACAAGAGGAACCCATTTAGAGAAGATCTGCAGATTGAGAACTGAGGAAACAGCATGACATTCCAAATGATGCCATCTCGCAGAGGGTGAACGAGAGAAAGAGAGAGAACCGAGTGGTGGGCGGACGGGAGAGGTGGGGTTGGGTGCGAGGGCTGTCGCAGCTATGGCGGCACGTTCACGTTTCGAAACATATCTTCCCGGGACGCCTGCAAGGGATAACAACGACGAATTCATGCGCTGTGAGGAACAGGGGTGTCCTGAAACAGGAGATTCACCAGGAGGAGGGACAGTGAAAGGGAATTAAAAAAAACATATATTCTAACCTGCAGATGTGGGAGGCAGGGGAGGCTGAGAGTGAGGACGAAGAGGAAGTGGAGGCGGCAACGACAGCGGAGAAGCGGAAACAAATTTGGGGCGTTTCTGAGGCTGCTGATGGTAGCTCTCGTGCTCCTCTTCCTCCTCGTCACGATCATCGTATGCTTGAATGAGAGCATCCATGGCGAAGGAGGAGCATGTCTTGTGCCCACCTAAACCAATTACCAGCCCAAGTCCCACCTTCACGTCCAACACCACACAACAACAACAACGTGTGTCCTCCGAAAGCACCTCGACCTTCTAAATGGGTTCCTTCTAACGATGCCTTCCTTGCTGCTCTCCCGGGGCACTTTCCGTCGTGTGAAACCCGTTTTTACTTCATTAGGTTTGAGGACTTCTGGCTGCTGTGTGAACCCAGTTATCATGTCCCCCTCTTGGCAATTTCAAGTCCACCTACACAATTTGTGCACAAACGTCATCGAATTAGCAATTGAGTTTCAGGGATTTAGGGTTTACTCAAACTCTTTGTTCACATGTAAAATGAACAATAGGATTTCAACTCTTTATTGTAAAATGTAACTTAAGTAGATCTCAATACCTTATTTTATAATATATATATATATATATATATATTTCTAACAAAACCATAATTCCTCAAATATTAAATATGTATTAATAAATAAATATTTTTTAATTTTATTATTTTTCAACGTAAAAAATATTGTGGATATTTCTTATAATGAATAACAACTATATTGACAATATTTATTTTGAATTCATTGATCTTGTACCACTTTTTAATATATGCATACTTGTATATGAATTTCAACTCTATTTTTAAATTATATATATATATATATATAAGACGACATAAGTATAAGATAAAGAGACAAAAATACAATCTGATTGGGTGTTGAGAAGGAACTTAGAAAACTTTGAGAATGTAAAGAACTTGACATTGTTGGAGTTGTTGGGATGTTGAAAACTGTCTCTATGCCAAAGCCTCCTCCTTGGTCTCCCATCCTTGAAGAATCCAAACTTGAAATTTTTGATATGTTTTTAAAGAAACCTCCAAGGATTTTTGCATTTATTTCCTACATTTTTGTACTTGTTTTGTTTTGTTTTTTTTCATACTTCAATTGCATGTAGAAACCCCAAGAAGATATCTGAGTGCGGCAACTACATAGGTTTATGATTAAGGCAATATTGCAACGAAAGTGCACATGCGAGTAGGTCTTTTTGAAAAGAGGGACTAGAAGGTAATGATTAATGGAGCTATTGTATTTGATTCAAGAGCTCAACATCATGCCTTTGCAATTGCTATTGATTGATTTTGGACCCATTGCCTATATCGCTGCATAAAAGGTTCTCATTCCTCTAGATAAGCTAAATGCTTATGAATGCTATGAATATTGCTCAAATATTTAGAGACACAAAGTTTTCTTTTTTTTGGCCCTTGAGTATCAATTCATAAGGTAAAAATTTTGAATTGCAACTGGATTGTTCTTTATTCTAGACTATATTTATTCACATGTGAAGTTAAGAAAATTTGTCAATAGTTGATAATTCCTTATATGACTCCTTTTTGTGTCTTAAATTTTTACAATGGAAATAAAGATGAAGAAGAGTACCAAGAGTGCATTGAGTTGTAGTTGGCTACTCAACAAGAAGAGAATCCAAAAAGGATCAAAGAAGAAAGTAGACATTGAAAGCAAGTAATTATAGAAAAATACAAACAAAAGCATTAAAAGTAGCAATAGCAAAAGACAAAAGTAGACATTTTTGAGGTTACAACAATCAATGTAGGTGAGTTATTTAATCGAATAAAAAATATTTTTGTTTTTGATTAGATTTTATATTAATTTGATTATACATTTAATTTTTTTAAGATTCAGTTTTTCTTCTTTTAAGGATCATTTATTGAGGTATTTCAAGTTTTGATCTCACTGTTCTCAATATTGAAATAGTTTTAATTTTTAAAAAGAAAATAATAGAGTATAATCAATTTTAAGCTATACTATAGTTGATAATGTTGTATCTTTGAAGATAGAGAAAAATCCACCTTTAGCTCTTAATAAAAACAAGAAGATGCAAATTATAGAACAGACTTTTAATGGTATAGAAATTGATTTGGAGAAGAAAAATGTCATCAATAGAAATGCCTAAAACAAGAATGTATCAGAAACAAGTGGTTTGGAACAAAGATTAGTAAAAGTAAGTCCTTTATAAAAAAAATAATATTCTTTTTAGATGCTAAAATTCTATAGTTCACTTGGTAAATTCCTTGTTCTCCACCTTGAATTTAGATTAGGACCACAAAAGATGAGATCACAACCTCAAATCTCGTTGAGGAGCTACTAGATCAATGGGATAGTGTTGATATTGATATCAATGAATGATGATCTTTAAGTTCCAAATTTTATAATTATGTTGGTTACAATTATACTTTACTATTATTATCATTAATATTGCAATTTGAAAATAAGGAAAAAACTAAGACTATCAAAATCAGATTTTTTTTTTTTTTGTTTTTTTTTTTTTTTTTGTAAACAAAAACAAAAGACCAATAGGATTGTCATGCAATTGAATTATTGATATAATCTAAGAATCTTCAAACAATGTTTTTGCCTAGTTATTAATGCTTTTTGTCCATGTCATAGCTTCTAAGTATCCAATTGTACACAACATTATGTCCTTCATTGAAACAATTTGAAATAACAATTGAACCATCTTCAAATTTAAAAGATAGTGGATCCAACTATATGAAGGTAGAAGCTACATAACAAGCAATTATTGTTGTTTTAAAGGTTGATATATATATATATATATTTATTTAAAGGTTGATATATATATATATATATATATATATATATATTTAAATATTGATTATATATAAATATCAATATCCTATTTATTTTGTGCATAAGTTCAACTCAAGCTAGTTTATTAGGATTTGATGTGCTAGATTTTGTGTGATTGATGATGCTAGAGTTTGATAGTTTCTTCAAATCATGATCTCTTGCAAGAGGATGGTACCACACATCCTTAGAAAACTCTTGAGCTAAAGGATTTCATGGTTGCAATATTAAGTTTGTCCCACATTCAAATACTACATTACAAGATTCAATGATGTTCACCTAAATAATAACGAATAAGTAAAGATTGACATTTTTTTTTTGTTTAATGTTGTTTTTTCATAAGTTTTGATTAGTTAGTTATTAGTATTAAAAATTACTTTATTTATTACTTTCAAATTTTGACTTTACATCCTTGAATGCCTTAATCCAATTTTTTCTTTCTTATTGTTAAACTTTACAAATAGTTCCTTGAACAAAAATTATCTGATTTTCACTAGTGTGTGTATATATATATATATATATATATTTTGACCAATGGCATAGGTTTCCACTAGTGTGTATGTATATATATATATATATGTATATATATTTATACATGTATTTCTCCCAATTTGAAGTTGTATTTGAATTAGTTGAATCGAAGGAAGAGCACGTTACCTTAAAATCGTACAGTATCACGATTCAACACGGACCGTATCTACACGAGGACTATACCGGAAGTGAGAACGAGAGAGGAGGGAACGCCGTAGCAGCAGCGAAGGGAAAGCGCTCCCGGGGTGGGGACGGGGGAGGTCCAATTCAGGGGACAATACAATGAACCGGGCGGGGAATGAAGCCTGCGTAGGCTTCGTCCTCGTGCTGCTTCTACTGTTGTTGCTGCAGCTACAACTCTCCCTCTCTCCCTGTTCGCCCTCCTCGCCCTGCTTATTCCTTCCTTCCAGTTCCAGATCCGTAGCTGTATTCCAGAAGCAGCAGCAGCAGCAGCACTCAGAAGGAGCCAGCCTCATACCTCCTCGATTCATGGCCTCTGTCCCTGCTGCTTCTCCCATCTCCATCTCCATCTCTCCTTCCAGCCTCGCCTCCCCTGTTTGCATCAGGTAGGTGCGTTTCTCTCTCTCTTCACTGCTGTTTCCGGATAGCCGGCTATGACTTGCTTTGTTTGTTCTATTTGGTGTTTTGTAGGCTTCCCGTGGCATCGGCCGCATGTCCTGTATTTCGTCTACGCTCTGAGAACAATCTCAAGAATGTCTACTTTTTCTTTCCTATATTCGAGGAAAAATGGATACACATGTACACGTCAGTTTTTTTCTTGATCAATCAGGAATCAAGCGTGTGGTTTGTGTGTGTATGGGAATGCTCGTGTAGTTCAATTCGGAATATGTTCTATTCATTGCAGTAGGCTGCAGTCGTTGAGGTGTGTGTGTGTGAGAGAGAGAGTGTGATAGAGAGGGGGATCGTCAAGTGCTCTGGTTTTAGGGTGCGGTTGACGATGAGGAATAGCTGTGGATACTTTCTGTGTCTTCAAGGAGTTATTGAAGCTCACGGTAGATTTAGTTGGTGCAGTCATGCGATTGTTGGTAGGAATGGTACAATCGCTGGTTTTAATTTTCCCGCATTCTGTCTCGAATATTTAATGCTCGTAGGCTGTTGGTGCTGAAAAATTAAGTTTCCGGGTATATGGAGTTTTGTAAGTATTAGTTCTCGGTTGTGAAATCTAATTTTGAATCCTCAATCTCTTAACATGTTTCCCACGTGAATGATGCAGATACTAGCATCGAGAAACGTAGTCAAGATGAAAGTGGTTGCACTTGTGAGTGGTGGCAAGGACAGCTGCTATGCCATGCAGCGGTCTATAGACTTCGGCCATGAGGTCCGATAATTCTCCATTTCTTTTCTGCCGATCTTGGGCTTGTTTTTCGGTAGCATGGTTTGTGACATTGATAGCATCTCTTTGTGGCAGGCTATCTGGAAATTCATGAATCGGTCTAACTTGTCAATACAATTCTGTATATTCAACCTTCGATGCTTTAATGTTCCATTTTCAATTCGTGCCAATCATGCTTGAGTGCTGCATAGGGTGAGTTGTGGGATATTTTGTGCATAATTGCAGATAGTAGCCCTTGCCAATCTACTGCCTGCAGATGATGATGTTGATGAGCTTGACAGCTTCATGTTCCAGACTGTAAGTGTATTTTGTTTTTTAAATTAAATTAATCCTTTTTAGAGGTTTCGCGGAGATTTTGTTGGTCGTAAGATTGTGAACTACAAGTGCATTTTCTTTTTCTTTTTCTTTTTCTTCGCAGTAAATTGATGTTGACGGAATTGAAATAACCTTATTGCGACCAGACTACGTAAAACATGTGACAATGTATATGATCTTTTCATATTTGTTAAGAGGGCCTAGTAGCACGTTACTTTTGACGTGCTCGTACTACGCTCACCGTATTTTCGTTGCTGGGCAGGTGGGCCATCAAATGATAGGTGCCATAGCCCAATGTATGGGCCTGCCGTTGTTTCGCCGGCGCATTCGAGGCACGTCCAGGTCAATGCTTGTTCCTCTTCATCTTGCTGCTTGCACGTATTAGTTTAAGTGATCATTTTCCCTTAGTTCAGTGCAGCACTGTGCTGCGGAGACGAAGGTTAAATTGTGATGTATTTCAGATTGCAGGAGTTGAGATACAAGAAAACTGATGGGGACGAAGTGGAAGATTTAGAGAAACTTCTGATGGCTGTGAAGCAGAAGCACCCTGACATTAATGCTGTTTCTTCAGGAGCTATTGCATCCAATTATCAGCGATTGAGAGTGGAAAGCATATGCTCTAGATTGGGTCTCATTTCTCTTGCTTACATGTGGGAGCAAGATCAGGCTACACTTCTTCAGAACATGGTAAGTACATGCTTTCCTTGCATGTGTAGCCGTTTACTCAGCATCTACTTTAAAGTAAAATTTGTACTCGATTGTTATGCATACAAGCTTGCGCAAGGTCCTGTCCTTTGCCAATTTCTGGGGTTTAAGTCTTGACGGTAGTGTTTGCTGGAATTCGGTAGATTTCCAACTGACAATGTGTTGATTTTGCGCAGATTGATAGTGGGATCCACGCAGTGCTCGTCAAGGTACAATAGACACCAGATTTTTTTCTTGTGTGAAAATTTCTTTTCATCTTCTTTTTAATGTGCAGAAAGCAGATGTTGAGTTCATTTTCATTTGCGAATAGTTTTATGGTTTTAAAATATTCAACGATTGATGTCTCTTCCCATCCCGTACTCATCCCCGAAAGTTGGGTTAATATTATGAACATCTGATTGTGAAGGTGGCTGCAATTGGTATGGACCCATACAAACATTTGGGGAAGGATTTGGCTTCTGTGCAGCCGTATCTTACTCACCTCGCCTGGTACAAAACTGAATGAATCCATCTGGTCATGTGATGCGCGGTACTGTTGGAGGATTCAAGCTCGCCTCACTTTGAGAGTTGTATAAACACGTTACGAGTGAAGCTACTTCTATGATTACATCCAACCTCGTTTTCTTCGTCTAACGTCTATCTTGTGTTACAGTCTGTATGGAAGCAACGTATGTGGTGAAGGTGGAGAGTACGAGAGTCTGACTCTCGATTCTCCTCTATTTAAGGTGAGATTGCCTGCTACAAGGTTGTACATTTTCTGCATTCAACCACCCTGACGAATTCTTTCATTTAATTATAAAGAGCCGGATTAACTATCAACAGTTATGAAATGCTGTCAAGCGGTTGATGCAGTACAACTCTTTTGTATTGACCTTGTACGAACGTATCCTAGTGTTTTCACTCATCAAACAAGGATATAGTTGAGATTTATTTTTGAGAGACTGTACACCAAGAGGTGCTGATTTAATCTTAAACAGATTAACAAGGCCGGTGGCTAAGTTGCAAGCACTATGGCCTTGTCCTCACAGCTGGATTGCTTTGGATCAGCATGCACGAATTGTTTTGGATGAGTTTGAAGTCACATTGCACTCACCAGACCAAATTGCCCCCGTCGGTGTGCTTCACCCAACGAAATTTCATTTGGAAGCTAAAGATTCATCAGCAAAGTTGAGTCCTGGCTTGTTGTCCTCGGTGTATGAAGTAGCAGACGACATGCCTGAGAAGGAGGAGATGGTCATGAAAGGCGAGGAAGTCTCAGTGATCGAGTTGAAAAATATACGCTCGAGTGTCGAAGTCCTAACCACAATTATTTCTCAACAGCACGGCATTTTCACAATATGCTGTTGGCTGTCAAATAGTCAGAAACTTGGTGAGCATGTCTAAGTATTAGTTTCTGACTGAATTTATGATGAGAATGTGTGGATATCTGCAAGCTTTGTACGAGTATAGCTGAAAATAATTCTAGATTTTAGGGTAGAAGTATTTAACACCTTTTCTGGTGTTTGAATATGTAGATGTGCAGGAAGAACTTGGGCTACTATTGTCCACTGTTGAAAAGACTCTTCATACCAAGGGTCTCACCTGGGGCAACGCTGTATATGTTCGCCTCTTTCTTGAGGACATGGTCTCCTTTGGGGTTGCCAATGAAGTCTACGTGAAGAATATCACTGAGCAGAAGTGTGAGAGAGGAGTACCCTCTCGGTGTTGCATGCAAGTGTGCTTACCAGAGGCCTGCATGGGCGGAGCTTTGGTAGAAGTCACAGCTGCTTCAGATTTAAGCAAGCAGGTCCTTCATGTTCAGAGTATTTCTTGCTGGGCTCCGAGCTGCATTGGCCCTTATAGTCAGGTGCGGTCTGAGGAGTCGCTTCGAACTCACTCTTTACTCTCTGCTAACTGCTTCTCTTTCGAGGGTTTCGTTTAGGTTAGTTAATCTTTGAGGTCATTATTTTGACAGCGTTGTTATTTTATCTCGCCCTCGATCAAGAAAGTGAAGGATATGAACCTTTTTGCGCTTGCACCTAAATACATTGTGCTTTTAATAGCCATATTCCTACATCTTGATGCGTGCGTTTGTGTAGATTAGTTTGTGTATCATGTGTGTAGGATACGTTTCTATGTTTCTCTTCTTTGCAAACAACGGCTAAATGCTTGTTGTCACCTAACTCTCATGTATCTTGTCGTGGCGTTTCAGGCAACACTGCATAGGAGTATACTGCACATGGCTGGGCAGCTTGGTTTGTACCCTCCTACTATGGCGCTGGTGCAAGGTGGCGCAGCCTTGGAAATGCAACAAGCTTTGAAGAACTGTGAGGCAGTAGCAAGGGCTTTCAAAGTCAGTCTACGAAATGATTCTGTAGCCATCACAATTTACTGTTCAGCTGCTTTGAGTGTTGAGGACCAAGTGCAAGTTGAGCGTTGTCTTTATGAATTTCTCGAAGGAGTGGAGGAAGATGATGATAACGAATCTCAGAGCATGAGAACAGATTTGAAAATCTCAAATCCACTGATATTTTTTGTTCTTGTGCCAGCATTGCCGAAAGGGTGGGTTCATAATTGAGGTCACTTGTATGTGCCGAATTTTTTAGCATGTTCATTTAGATTTTCTGAAGTTATCAAGAACAGTAGTAGTCAAATTGCTTATCATGCATTAGTCTTGTCAGAATCTGCTAGTCGCGGACATCACCTTTTTTGACGATGTCTGCATATTGAAGTTGGATATTTCTCACTTGAACATGTTTTGTTTTTCTTATTGTTGACAGGGCGGCCGTCGAATTGGAACCTTCCTTGTATGTGAATTCGAGCATCTACAACGACAACGACTCTGAGTCTGATTCAAGTCTATCTTGGAAACACGTCCACGTTGAACCTCCAACCACTATTGGCAGCTCAGTGGTCAGAAATAGGACACTTGCGTGTAGTCCATGCCAAGGGTCGGTCCTACCAAGGAAGTATGGTCGAGCTAGTATTTGCATCAGTAATTTCTCTGCTGGCTCTTTGGGGTTGATCAACACTAGCGAAAATGCTGGGGAAGCGCGTGTAGACCTGGAAGAGTTGCAGGAGCTAATATCTTCAGCTGTAGCCACACTGAGGTTTAGAGTTTTCGAGGAGATGGCAAGACTTTCATGGAACGAAGTCACGGTAAGTTTTTTTCTCACCCCAGTTGGTGTTGTATTGAATATTACCTGTTTTGGTCTGACTTTTGAATAATCACCCAAGCTTCATTTCGTGATTCAAGTGGTCTTGTTCTATTATATTTGAGCAGCATCTAGGTTAGTGAGGTTGATAGTACACAGTTCTTCTTTTTCTTCAGTATGTTAATTCGGGCTTCTGCAGGTGAAGAACATGTGAGCCTTTATGTTGATCGTGTTTTTGCTGTGCAGGCGTTTCGGGTTTACTATGATGCCATAGCAGTTCATGCAGCTCCATTATATACAGCTGTGACTAAGGCTTTAGACGATTTCCGTATAGCTGAGGGGTGTAGTGTTGCCCCGACCTTGATACCAGTAAGCGGAGCAAGCTTCACACTGAAAATTAGGGAACTCGTTCTTTTCGACGTGACTGCTGCTAGTACCCATCTTCAAACATAAGATCCATACAGAATCTCTCATCCAGTGTTTCACCCTGCCCAGAGAATTGTTACCCAATCACCTTAACTGGATCAACAGCAGTGTGGTCTGCAAGTCGGTAATGGCTAATATTTTGAATTTGGGATATAACCTTGCTAACCCATCCAGGTTTTGCTAGTAACGGAAAACACCGACGATGACAGTAACAAAACACTCCAGCGACCAGTTGGAATTTCTGCCTCCTATTTCACGAGGCATTCCAGATCATAATTATTACTCGTGTTCAGTGCAAGTACTTGGAATCAGCATTGTCAAGCAGTAGGAGGGTGGATGCGTGGGGATCCCTTTTCGACACAATCGATTCACGTTATGTAGGCACTATATGTCGTACCTATTGTAGAAGGATGATTGATGATAGTGATTAAAAGGCCACTTCGTGTGTATTTTCCATGTTTAAAGACGGAGTTGTACACCTACAATGTGAAAGTTATGCTCGAAGTTACACTTCATATGTCTCGTTGACGGTTAATGAAGCTTTTATATTTTCGTGAAAAATATTCGTAAATGCTTTATAATTGAGTTCATAACGGAGTTACGAAGTTCTAGAGGTCTCCTGAAGAGTAACCTCTTTCACATCTCCTGGTTAAATTCTTCCCCAGGTCGGATCATTATCCTGCTTGTAATACCTCGGACCTGAACCCGGATCTCGTCCGTGCAATTTCGGGTTTTACCCGTGTACTTCAACACCTGCACTGCTAAGATACAGCCGAAACTTGATTAGTCGCACAATGAATCTATCTCTTGCTGTTGCTCTCTCGACCCATACTTCACAGGAAGTGCATGGAGCAATGGGGCAGTGGGTGGCATTCTTAACAGAGAGCGGTGTCGGATGCTATATATGGCGGAGAAAGTGCCTCCCATGACAGTCACAGTCCCACACCGTACTGTATGCGAAGAGAACTGGCTGCCAATAATGGCGATACGACCAAAAGAAAGGCGGCGCGCACTGGCTATTAACATCCTCACCAGCCCCTTGCGGCTTTAAGTAAACTTCCAAATTGCCGGTCTTACGATGCTCCTCACCTCCCTGCAGGAACCGCCACCACGTTCTCCGTCTGCCCCCGTGCTCCTGTCAGAGCCTTATTTGCATCGTCATGCTTATACCGCAGGGCTTTTGCCCGGAAGGAGTCTGCCAAAGTTGCTAAAAGTGTTCAGAAAAACCATATCGTTTTCTCTCAAAACGTATCGGACCTTTACAATCACGGTACACGGATGGTCTGAGACAGTTGGGTTTTACGCTGACATATTTGTGGGCCGTTTTCATATTTTCATTGAGCCTGTCGCGGAATCGTGGGCTTTCTAGCTGAATCCCAGTGAGGCCAATCACGAGTTAATGGTCTCATGAATTATAAGGTGCTCTCATCAGGTGGTAAAGTACTCTATGGCGAAATGTTGAGATGCCATAAGTATTATTTTCGAGTGGGTGCATTCCGGCAATTTATCCTGATTGGCATCCTCTTGACGGAGTACGAGTTATCCCAATAGAAGCTTCACTCCACTTGTCTCCGGTCTTAACATTGTCACGGTATTGTTGGTGGCTGCAACTTGACCGCAGTATATTTGTGGTGGTGGTGCTTGTTGCAGAGTGGAAACACACATGGCAACTGGGAAAAGGATTGAGTGTCAACTTGATCCACAACATTCTACCAAACGGAGACCTTCCACGGGATTAGTTGGCGACTGTGGTTAGAATCTGGAGCATTTTGACGACACTCCCTGTGAAGGGTTTCAGAAGCTCTCTGAATCTCCTGTCATCTCAGCGTCAATGCACATAGAAGATTCTTTCTAATGCATAAATATACCAACTTTAATAATAGCAACGTTGGGTTTGAAATATAGTCCAGGTGGAGAGGGCTTGGGTTGAATGAATAGTATGTCCGTTGAGGGGTGATGTGGAAGGCCACCGAAACCACTCTATCTATTCTATTGTTGGTGCCTTTTCTAAGTTTAACTTCAAAGATCTACGAGTTAGACGTGGTTATCGAGCATTCAGTAACCAGTGATCGATGGTTGGTGTTCAATACTTGAAGATGAGTGGGCTGTTCAGGGTGCTTTTTTGTGTTCGTAAGATCACCCCCGATAATGTAAGATTTTGACAATATATTGTCATGTTCAGGGCTACTGGTTTTTTACTGTGTTGGTGTTTGTGTGTTTCTATGTGTGATATGCGTGATGTTAACAGTACAGTGTGCATAATACAAAAATAGTCGAAAGCAATATTAATGCATACACAACGCAATTCATTGCTATTGAATGCTTCCAATCTATTTTTGTTTTATTAATTTGAAGCCAGAAGGGCAACTTAACCGGGTAGGTCTTTAATATTACTTTTCGCGTCTTTTAATTTTTTTGATTTTTTCTTTTGTTTCCCTCACATGTAATGTAAGTTTAATCCATGTGAAGCTCGTGGAAGAAGAGCTCGTGGCTAGTGGACAATGGAATGGGCTCGGCAAAATCAAAAATTCTCATCAACAGGTGAAATATCATAGTGCCGCGGTACTCTTACAAAAGCTCCGCAAAAAAAGATGAAGTTGAACCAAGTGCCTTAAAGAATCCTCCATCTTCACGTCACATCCACAACATGTGATTGATTGTTTGCAAGCCTCGCCTATGGATCGAAAACCACCAACTTCCACAGGATCCTTCACGAGCCTTAAAGCAAAAGCATGAAATATGAAAAGCAAATATGAACTGGCTGCGAGTTGGTTCTACTATTCCCTTGCGAGCCACTTCAACAACAATAACATTGATAATGTTTCCTCTCAAACGATGCCAAGGAGTGCTAACAGCTGTTTTTTTTTTTTTTTTTTTTTTTTGAAGACTGCAGTTGTGGTGAGATTGGTAAGGAAAACCAGAGAGGAGTTGAGGTAGAAAGCGTGGGGGTGGGATTTTGTGGTTGTTTGGCGATGCGGTGACATGGCAATGCAGAAGCGGATAAAGCAGATCCGGTGGAGGCGATGCCAGATTGGCACGCGTTAATTCCTATGCATCACGAATGTTCTTTGCACTTTCACAAGGAGGACGATGACGACGTCGATGAGGGAGATGATGGGTGAGGAGGAGGAGGAGGAAGAGACGACGGAGATGATGGAATGAACGTGTTGGGGAAAGGAACGAATCGGTTGCAAGTCACCAGCAACGGCCATCCGCATCAACGAACTTCATTGACATGAAGTGCGAAGATGGTAGTGTACTGAGAGGGGGCGAGACAGGGAGGAATGCGCACGAATCGCCGCAAACAAAGGCGTATGGCTAGGATCACTACATCTATGCTATTTTGTGGAGGATGGAGCGACGCAAAGAGTGCTTTGCTGCTGGGCACCCATCCCAGCACAACTCGCTCTGATTCTCTCCCTGTCGCTTTATTAATTGCAGCACAGGGCCCCTTCATGCGCAGCCGAAGGCATATTAGCTTCAACCCATTTCAAACTCCTTGTTTTCACTGCTCCATCCACACACAATCTCGTGGATGGGTGCAATCTCGTCGCCCGCTTTTGAACTGCGCACTGGTAGAGGACCGGTGGAGGAGACGATAGTGTGAAGATCTATGCTTGCAATTTCAAGCTGTTGGTCTGGCATCTAGTGAACACCATTTTGTTGTTGTCATGTTTTATTGAGCATTTAACTTCGCATTGAGCTTATTCTCGACCATTTTGAGGCGGAGAGTATGTTTTAGCTGTGGAGTTACGTGACGCACGAGCTGTTGAGCTGCCGTGCTTTATCTGTCTCATGACCACCTCCTTGCTGGGTTCTGATTGAAAGGTTTGGGAGGGGGTATAAGAAACGGAGTTGTTGGTCCCCTTCGCTGCACTGCAACTTTTTTCAACTGGAGTGTTGTAGTGACCCGCATTTTTTATAGCATGGAATGGTTGAACTGAAGCTTCTGCTCTCGGAGCGGCAAAGCCATTGTAGTGTCATGTCGCAATAAAGCTCGAGCCCTGGACCACATTGGATGTATGGGTTGTAGGATCCGATAGTTTAGAACCCTCTCTGCACGCATTAGGCTAGTACGATGTGGTGATCTTAATATCACCTTCTTTTAGTGCAACAGGTTGTGACTACCAGATTTTACGCACGTACTTTTTTCGGTCTCATGTGACACACTAGTGAGTCGAGATGACATCTGACGCAGTAGAGTAGCTGTATTTATGAATACATTGTAGTCCTTAGTCCTTGAGCTGTTATTTATTTTCTCTTTCGGTTCCAACGCGGGTTAATCCCTTTCTGCATTTGGTATCTCTCTCGAATGTAGTGGCCTGAACACCTATCTTCTCGACATTTGAGTCCACGAAGGTGATTTTCCAATGTGGCGAAGAAGATGCTTCTGGTGAAAGTCTGACTAAAACTGTAGCAATGCTGGTACTGTAAACAGCCTTTCTGGCACGGATTGTGCTCAAGATCCGGCCATAGGAACAGACCAGTGCGAATTTGTGTGTGCGTAACTTCGGAGGGGTTGTAACATAAGTCCTGCGAAGCTTTTCGTTTGTCTTGTTGTGGATGTTTCTAGTCAGGGTTTCTTATTAAAGAGATTATGGCGACTCTGACCCCAGGGATATTGCTGGAGCTTCTGAAACTCATAAACTCGGACCTAAAGGCTACCGGAGAACATCGATCTGCGCTCTTGCAGGTGATCTCCATAGTCCCAGCTCTTGCCGGTGGTGAGCTGTGGCCGAACCAAGGATTCTATATTAAAGTCTCAGACTCGTCTCATGCGACGTACGTATCTCTTGGTGAGGAGCATGATGATCTGATTCTGAGTGATAAAATTCAGCTGGGACAGTTCATTCACGTGGATAGACTTGAGGCTGGGTCACCCGTGCCAATCCTCCGCGGGGTAAGACCTCTTCCTGGACGACATCAATGTGTTGGGAATCCAGAAGACCTCGTCGCTGCTGTCGTCTCTACATCGTTAAGTTCCGATGGCTCTGTCCAACCTGATCTTTTTCAACCCGATCTACGCACATCGGACACAATAGATAAGTGAGTGACGAGACTTTTGAATGCTTCTAGCGTAACCTTCCTGTTTAAATTTTCTTTACCCCGCTTTCTTTCCAGCATGAAATTGACTTGAAATGTTTGGTTTGGACAGGTTCGATCCTTCTTCAGCTGAGAGCATAGCAGGTAAGAACGCAGAGAGGTCAAATGGCTCACTGAATGGTCTCATTGGGAGGTCATCGTCGTCGTCGTCAAACAGGTCTCACAGGTTCCACGACGTCGAGGTGGCCGTGGAGAAGACGATTGATATTTCATCTAATGACTTTGGCACACAGCTGAGCGAAAGGTTGGCTCGCGGTGCGATGTCGAGGAATTCGTCCTTCAAGCCACAGTACTCCACCGAATCTGTAAGATCGACCAACCCACAGGAGGAAGTGAGACCACTTTCCATGTCCACATTGAGGCAAGACAAACCCAAGGCATACGTAGATTGCACCTCAGTTCAGAAGGAGGTGAACAAAACCACCTCTCCTACGAGATCTCCGTCCATTATGAGTTCCCTGTTTACCGATAGACGATCACCCGCCTCTTTGTTCACCAGGAGTGTGGTGGCGTGTCCCGAAGACCGTATCATTCCTTACAGGGAGACTCCTGTGACGTCCAATCGAGCGAAGCAAGTATCTCCCATCACCAAGAGATCTGTCAGTACTGGTAGAGTGGTGAATGGCATTGATGCCACCAAGAGACGAGGATCGCTTGGGTGTGCTGGTCGAGCTGCAGAGCCCGTCAATGTAGCTGCGAAGAGTATACGGAAGAGCTGGGAGAGCGCGGCTGCGAAAAACGGGAAAGATCATCCTCAGCCTAAGTCCTCTATCAAGGATGTCAAGGCTACGCTGTGGTCTTCGGTAGGCGTTCCCTTTTTCTAATTCTAAGAGAGTTTTTGCTTTATTCGTGTTGCTCTGGAGGTGAATTCACCGGCGTCGGTAACATTGCCCCAATGAATCCTTAGGTTAGAGATTCTTGTTCCGCTACTGATACATTGCCAGGGAATAAATTGAGATGAAAGGCCGTGTCTCGTTGTGCAGCTTTCGGGTTCGAGGAATAAGCTCGTGGACAGCAATGGAAACACCTCTTTGGATAGGGGTTCACCTTCTCCTCATCATGTTCGACTAGGAAAACTCAATGTCAAAGCGGATAGCAACGGCTGTGCAGTTACACCGGGGTCTCCCACACATTCCACCACAAGTTCAATATTTTGTAATGACATCGAGGTGACAAATATCCAGGGACTCACGAGCAGCAACTGCTGGGAATCGCTTCCAGGAAACTTGGCACAGTTTGGCGCGGTTAGTGATTGAATCATGCCTAGGGGACTTTCTTCTTGATCTAGACCCACAAGTATTGAAGTGTTTATTGAGTCGTTTCGTAACCTTGTTGATTTGGTGGAGGGTAAAATGCTGTATGTTTTGGTTCAGTTCAGCTATTTGGTATGCTCAAATAGTGAACTTGCATTTCGACACCCTCTTGAATTTCAGGAAGCTTTGCAATCTCGGGAGGCTGCCGCTTTGGCAGCTGTCGAAGCTCTTCAGGAAGCTTCAGCAGCAGAGAGCGTCCTTCGAAGTCTAAGCATGTTTGCGGAATTGTGTTCGGTGGCGCGGGCCGACCATCCTCAGCCCTCAGTGGAGCAATTCCTGAGCTTGTCACAGTCCCTTAAGTCTGCTATGGCTGTATCTGATGCCTTGTCCGTATCTCGGAGCTCTTCCTCAGAGACGGCCTCCCCGCCAGAGGATGCCAACGAGGCTTCGAACGATAAAGCGCAAATACTGATGGAAAAGTCTCGAAGTGCCGCAAGTTGGGTTAATGCTGCACTGACCTCAGACTTGGCCTCATTTTCAGTTCAGAGCAGGCAATCTGGTTCAGGTTCGCTGCGAAACGCTCTCAAAAGATCTAGCAGTGCGCAGTTGCAGGTCATGTTGGACAAGGGCCCAAGCACCGTGCCCAGAGGGAGGAGTTCCTCGCCTTCTCTGAGCAGCAGGACTCCATCGTCTCCGAAGACCCGCGCTGCTCTGGCAACCTTGACAAACGAAAGGAAGACTGCTGCAGAATTGAGATCCCAGTCTCCAGTCCCTGGGCTCACATCCTCCCGACGAAGCAACACAATCAGTAGAATCGCGCTAGGGAAGAGTTCCAAAGCATCCAGCAAGGTGACCCCAGAAGCACAACCAGCGGAGCAGACGAACCCTCCAACTGCTACACCCTTAGCGGCACCAACCCCTGCGACGCCTCCGCCCGTCTGGGTGAGGGGTAAAGGAGTCGCAGAAACTGCTGCGCTGGCCAAGCAGGTGGAGAGCGAAGCCCAGGGCTGGTTTCTTAACTTCATGGAGGATGCTCTTGATGTCGGTTTCCACGTAGCCACTTCAGGCAGTGACGATAGAGAAGACATGTATGGTGCCAAGGTCATGAGCCAGCAGGAAAACAGCCACATCGCCACTATGTTGTCACAATTAAAGCGTGTCAATGATTGGTTGGATCAGGTCGGCGACGGCTTGGATACCAAGCTGATCGACACCAAAGCTAGGCTGAAACGCAAAATCTATGATTTTCTGCTCCAGCACGTCGAGTCAGCTGCTGCGGCTCTAGGCAACGTCTCCTCCGTCACCATTTTCTCCAAACCCCAAGTCGTCAATTGAAATCCAGCCATATATTTGGAATGTTCTTCATAGCATCGTCAGAAAAGGAACAAGTGCTTCTATACCTGTCTTACAGGGAGTGGGAGGATCGACTGTAGGTGGGATCTTCCCATCTGGGTACGCCTTGTGGGATTGTATCAAGAAGTGTATGTCAGAAGCAGTGGGACGCTAAGAAAAACTTTTAAAACGGTGTTATCCGAGAAGCTGACAAGCACTGAGGACATTCAGAGTGAAGCTGGTAACGGGAAAGGTTATCATGCCGACCTCTGTGGTGCCAACCGCGCGACAAATATTCAATCAAAGGTTTAGTGGAGTAGACAGGGATTAGTTACGATCTTCAATTCTTGTTTACGGCAAAGTGAGCATCGCCAGCCTCACGCGACCGTTGTACAATACAGTCAAGTCAATGGATTCGGTTGTCTTTTCTCCATGAAACGTTGGAACAACATAGAGATCTCCACGGCCGAGAGAAATCTAGTTCACGCGACGCTTTTGCCTGATGGAAAGCTGACACCGCATCACCACTGGACGAGTTGGTCTCCGCGGTCCGTTGTGCCAAACAGTGGAAAAAAATGCGGGTACATCCTTCCAAAATACTCTACTTTCCACTGTCAACCATCATCATCATGCCACTTTCTCTCCATCGATGCGTCCGACTGGGCAATCTACGGAATGTTCGTGTGCAGCTGCTTGCTACGAGCACTTTCGACTCTATTCCATGTAGTGACAACCGTGAACTGGCAAGCTGGGCGTTATTCTAGGGCGGTCACTAGACGAGAACTGCGGGCCCCTTCCCCTCCGAGTCGTTCACTAAGCTGTGTTGCACAGCGTTGCAACTCTGAGAGTTTTAGGATTCAGGATTCACGATTTCGGTGTAGCTGCGGACGTGGTCGCAGTCGGTGCCACTAGAGTTGACTAGAGTGGCCTGGGACGGCATTGGTTCATGAAGTTTGGATTCCTGTGCCCAGCTCGTCGTCATTCCTGCCATTTTTTAAAACTAAAAATTGAAGAAGAGTAAAAATGAACAGCAATGGTGTTCCTGTCAAACTACTGCCATGCCTTGAAGGAAGAACTGCTGACAGTATTTTTGCATGTGTATTTCGGCATGTTATGTGACGTGGAATTTCTTTTCCTTTTCTATCACTTTTTGACAATGGAGAAAAAGTACCTTTCAAAATTAACTTCGTAGATGACCCTGAACCTGAACTGATTCATATCTTCTATTCTTTTGGTAAATCACTTGTTTCTAATGTAGTGACCTGATTACATAAATGATTTTAGCTGCGAATTGGTGATATTTGATGTTGCCTCATCAACCAAATTGATTATCCCCAATTTGACCACCCACATGCACATTTTAAAATAATGTAATTCTGCATCAATAAGACATTTTCGTGTACTGTTGAGCACTTAGTTATGAATCTTTGATTTTTTCATGGGTATTGGTTGTAATATTGATAGTATGAACAATAGTGTGATTGTCTTTTGTAGTTAATTTGTTGTGTTGTCTAAAGGTTCAGCGTTTAAGATAAAAATGATTATTTAAATAACTCTATCTTAAGAAAATTAAGAAATTATTGTGATAATAATGTCTTTATTTAGAATTGTGATTGTTCTACAATTGTTAATATTGTGCGGCTATATATATATATATATATATGTATTTTTACATATTCATTCATTCATTGATTGAGAGGGTACAACTAATACCACCATAATTTTTGCCACCTACCATCCATTTGGCATATATTTTTAGTTTTTTATTCTAATAAAAAAATCATGTTAATATTTTCAGTACATTTTTTTTTAAAAATCACATGAATTTTTTAATACTAATAAAAAATAATGAAAATTTTGATTACAATGAGTTTTCTTTGGTCACAAAAAAATTATTCTTATTTAAAAAAAAAGATAAAAAACATAAATAATTCAAATAAAAATATACTTTTTATTTAGGATTAACAAAGATGTAAATAACATGTGGTAGAAGGGGGATGTGGTGGCAATAGCAAAAATTGTGGAGGCATTAACAATATCCTACATACAATCTTTTTTATTTATATAAGCATATCTATGTTATATTTATATACCCTCATAGAAGAAAGCATTGCTATTGACACAAAGAGATCAAACACATGTATATGTCATTTTATTTCCACAATATGATGTTTATTTTATATATTATATTATATTTAAAAATATATATATAACACGTGATTGAATGCCTATATGAATAGTGTATAATATAATTAGAACTACTAAATTTTCAATGATTTAGAATAAATGATGTAGATTTATTTTTATTCTAATTTATGAGTGATAATTCCAAAGTCAAAATACAATCATTTCAATTTGTATTTATAAGAATAGAAGGTTCATACAAAAATAATTTGGCTAGAAGTGGGAACAAAGTAGATCGTAGGAAAGAGTGGAAACAACGAGCAACACAATGAAGCAATAGAAGAAGAAGACAATTTAGCAAGGAACTATTGTGCAGGTAGGGGAGAAGAAGAGGGAGAAAGCATTGGGAACTAATAGCCTCCTTCCATGTATGATTGGTGGACAAAAATGAAGCTAAGTTCCAAAACTCTCTTCCAATAGTCTTACACATTATCACTTTTATGAATAGAATGGGTGATTTATTCTTAATGTACTTTGGGGAGAAGAAAATGTGAGTTGAGTAGTCTACCAATGCATTGGTGGACTTTTGACTTATAATAGAAATTCATTACAATCTCCTATGAAAGTCTTTGTATAAAGAAGCAATCTTTGAATGCGGATCTTGGAAAGGTGGCAAACATTTTTTCCTCTTGAGCGACCTAGAATGTCTGAATTATTTTGTATTCCTAAACTCCCATGAAAATGTCAGATTAGGTGCTTCAAATATGATAGACATGTGTGGATGTGCATTCATGGTTTAAGTGGAATAAAACAAACCTGCGTAATCTACTCAAATCTATTGGGAGAATTATACTATATAATATATTAGTCTCCTATATAGAATACCATCTACTTTGTATTGACCTTACACCAAGAGTTGTGACTCTTGGTGTCACCCTTATATACACAATATATTGTTAATCAATTGATCATATTAATAATAATGTTGTTTCCAACATGATATCAAAATAATAGAAATATTTGATCCTTAGAAAAAGCTTTGGTGAATGTTTTATTAAGAAAAGAATTGCTGAAATTATAAAATAGTTTATAATGAAAATAATATCAATACAATTTATTATAATAGAAAAGGTTGATGAAGAACTTGAAGTTCTTCAAACCATGAGAAGCAATTCTAGACCTGAAAATGACAACATACAAACCATAAGCAAAGATAAAATTGAATTGATCAAAAACAAATTTATAAATAATTTCAATTCTACATCAAATTAAGAATTTTGAAGATGACACAAAAAGTGGACATCAATCATGTTCCAAAATTTGATGGTTCATATTTTAATATATAGAAACATAGATTAGCATTAGTTTTCAAGGTTGAAAAGTTATGGTCCATAGTAAGTGGTGAAGAACGCTTACTAATGGAACCAATAGTAGCTAAAATTGCTGTCAGAGTCCTAGCTTTACCTACCATAGGAGTAGGAAGTATAAGCCTATGGATAGATAAGGATACCTTATCTTTAACCATAATCAAAAATTGCCTAGAAAACAACATTGTTTCATATATACAATCTTATACATCAGGAAATTCAACATGGCAAGGATTAATAAAAATATTTGAATGACATGATGCAATAACTAAGATATATTTAAAAGATAAATTGTATACTTTAAAAATGAGAGAAGGTGATAGTATTATTAAACACATACATACTTTTAGAGTTTATATGGAACAATTGTTGGCAGCAAGATCAAGAATTTGAGATGATGAAGCAATTTTTATTTTAATGAGAAGTTTGCCTCTAAATTATAGATACTTCATTTGATCCTTAAGAAGGCAACTTGGAATCACATTAGCATCTTTGATAACAAATTTGATTCAAGAAGACATATTCATGAAAAACATGAGTTTAACATCTGATAATAATTCAACCTTATATGTAAGTAAGAAATTTCAGAATAACAACAAGAAATCTTATTTTAATAAGAATTTTAGAAGTAATTCACTAGAAGAGAGTAGTACCTTCAAATCACATGAAAAGAGCAATTTTGCTTTTGACAAGAAGTGCTTTTATGCAAGAAATCAGGTCACTTGATCAAAGATTGTAGAACAAAAATAAAAATTGAAAATTGTAATAACAAAAATGAAACAAATGTTGTTATCAAAAAAAATAAATTATATGTGGCAGCACTTATAGTTAAAGAAAATCCAAATTCAATGTGGTGTGTGGACTTGGAAGCAACTCAATATATGTATCATGAGTTAGAAGGATTTGTTAAATACATCAAAAGTGAAGACAAATAAGTTGTCTACTTAGAAGTTGATACTACATCATACATAATAGAAAGACATTGTAATGTAAATATCAAACTTATAAATGGTGATAAGAAGATCATACCTGATGCATTACATAGACCAAGACTTGCAAAGAATTTATTCTTTGCTAAAAAATTATATAAGGGAAGAGGAGAAATTTGCATAAGAGCTAGCACCACTACACTTAAAAATAAATTTGGTCAAACCATTGTAATATGCAAATTAAATCCGGATTTATATGAATTAGGTACAACAATACTTTTAAACAAGCCTCAAATTGCTATTCTAACAACAATATAATTAAATAAAGCTGATTTATGGTATCTAAGATTAGGACACATTAATCTTCAAAGACTCAAACAAATAAAAACCATGGCAAAGGAGATTGATCTTTTTGATGAAAGAAAAATTACCTAATATCAACCTTGCATAGAAGATAAAAAAAATAAGAAAAAGTTTCTTATATAAGGTGCACAAAGAGCTATCCAATTGTTAGAACTTGTTCATTCTAAAATTTTTCATCCTATGCAAGTAGGTACATATTCAAGATGTACTTACTTCATCATATTTATTAATGATCTAACAAGATATTACCAAGTGTATTTGATGAAACACAAATTTGAAGCATTTAAAAAATTCAACTTATACAAAAAATTTGTAAAAAAACAAACAAGTTTCGAAATCAAAACCTTAAGATTTGATCGTGGAGGTGAATATACATCCAATGACTTTAAAGATTTTTGTAACAAAGAATGCATTAAAAAAGAATATACTATAGCTTATATATGACAATAAAATGGTATTTTTGAATAAAAAAATAAAACATTAATAGGAACAATACTTACAATGCTATCCTATTCAAACTCGTCAAATTGTTTTTGAGATGAAGCAAACGAAACAACAAATTACCTCCAAAATAGGAGCTGTATAAAATCTATAAAAGTTACCAAAACACCATTTGAATTATGGTACAAACAACAACTAAACTTATCTTGTCTTAAAATATTTGGTTGCAAAACTCATGTATTCATTCGTAAAAAAATAAGAAAGAAGTTAGACTCTCATTCACGAGAGGCTATCTTTCTAGGCTATAGTAAAGAATCTAAAGCCTATAGACTTATGAATATACAAAATCAATAAATTCTCATTTCAAGAGATGTTCTCTTCAATGAAAATCTACATGATCTACAAACAACCACATACTTGCAAAATGTCACGGACATACATATAATTACCTATATGAATAGATAAAAGTATGTAAAAGTAGATAAAAGTAGGTTAATTGTGTAATATCTTCTAGAAAAGCTTCTTAGAAGCTTCATAGACGCTGCTTTGACTTTATAGGAGTCTATAGTTGACTTTTAGGCTAGAAACTTGGTCAACAAGTTAGCCATGTGCCACACATGTTGGAAGCTTAAAGAACAAGCTAACTACGTGGTCCATCCATAGAAAACTTGCCTTGCAAGCAAAGGCATGTGGCCTAGAAAGTCAACATATATTGGAGGTCTTATAGAACATCGCCATGTGGCTTCTAGTTAGATAGTATATATAGAGACAAGAGTGAAGCCCTCTTCACTCTTGTCAACTCCTTTCTTGCTTCTAGTCTAGTTTCAAGGGTCTCTAGTTTTCTTGTATTTTGGCAATAGCCATTCTAATTTCTTTCTTAATATACATATTTCTATTTTGTCCTATTTCTTTGAGAAAAGTCTCACTTACTCTTTAGCTTTCATCGAGTTCTTGTC